CCAGATCTGCAGAGACAGGTGAGCTGCATGAGATCAGTAGGTACAGAAAACAGACAGGACTACTTTTTATTTATCAATGAATACTTCTTCACATTCACCTGCCACATTGCATTCCCTCTTTGTGAGAGAGGCATGAAAGGTGATCTCTTTTTAGATGATTCTGTATTAAATCTTACAAAAGTTATTTTAGAAGGTATTTTCTTAGACATATTCAAGGACCAGATCAATGAAAAATTCTATACAGTCTCTGAGGCGTATTCTCCCACCTGTGCTGTAGTTTGCAGGTTCTGTAGAAAAATCCAAATAGAAACTGCAGATTTCACATTGGGAAAAAAATAAATACATTTCACTCATTAAAAAAATTATCACAGTAGGAAAATAGCCAGTAAACAATAGATTCAGAGGGGTTTAATCTTGGCCCCAATGAGATCAATGGGAGTTTTGCCAAGGATTTCAAAAAAGCCAAAATTTCACCCAGAATCATGTACAATTCTTTAGCTGACAACAATCATAAACATCCTGCCACCCCATTGTATAAGTTAAATATTAATAAGCATCTGTAAACATCCTGCAATTTATCTGATATAAAAAATACTATAATAAAAACAATGCAGCATCTCAAGCACTGTATAGTTTTAAGTTTTTTTGGCTCTACACACAAGTCGGCATTGTTATATTGGGCAAATCCAGGGTATGTATATACATCTCTATGTACAGGTGTTCTCTCACATAAACACTATGAACTAGGTACTACATATCTACACACATCCACACAAATACTGGCAAGAGAATGACATTCATAGGCATGGCATATAAAAGCCTACCCATGATCAATTTGAGGATCACTTTTATGTGAGGAGCATTTTCTCTCCAAGAAAATAATCTGTAGGCTTACATGTAAATGCTGTAAGTGAAATACAAGAATAATCTCCAAGGAGCCTGAAGTACTGTTTAAAGCACAGCATATGCTTAAGTCCCAAAAGATTTATATGACTGCAAAAATGATGGACTTTCTTGTGGAATGAACAGGAAGAAGGGGAAACAAAGGGCAGAAACTACTGAGTACACATCAGATTTTACCTAAACCCATGCAAACCATGTTAGAGGTTTTCATTTTCAATTGAATATAGGTTTGGATTGAGTGGAAATCACGTGTTTCAGCTCTTTACTGCAAACTGCCATTTAGACAAAAATATCTGAGTTATGCAGAGAACAAGACAGTGTCCCATCTCTGCAATGCTTCCATGTGTAGTTCATGCATCCACTCATGCATGTAAGTGGATGTTACTACAGAATTAATGAACAGATGTACTTGACTGGAATACCAGCGTAAGTCACAAGTCTGGCTAATGACAGAAACCACCCATGCTGGGCTGGGATCCTCTCAGAACGTTTGAAATACCTTTAGATGAAATTTACCTTTCTTGAATCCCAGAATACACCTTAAAAATACAATAATGCAATTCCATAGTGCTCAATATTTGAAGATACCTGCTCTAGACAGACAGATGTGACAATGAGAAGTTTTGTTAGGTTTGTTATCACCATGAATTAAGACAAGAAGCTGCTAATATTATATGACGTTAAATTATTTGTGTGTGATGACAGAACAAAGAAGAGCTAGAGGGAAGATGCAGAGATCAGGCTCCCTTCACCTTCCAGGAGCATCTCAACAGCTTGTACTCCTTTTGTACAAATCCCATCTATTGCATGTCTCATCTGCCACTGTGAATATCACCTTGCCCTTTGATGATCCCATTGACACACAAGTATATTAAATTCCTAAGGTAACTGGCAGCTCTAGGGAGGTGCCTAAAAGAGTTTCAGCTCTTTTAGGATTCAAAGGATATGATGTAAAAAAGTGGCTAATGAAACGAATTATTTCAGGATAGAGTCACAAGCTGTGCTCCTTGAGTGGGAAAAATGGTAATTTTTGTTGAATATGATCAACCACATTTTTCAAGGTACCTGATTTAAGGAGATATAAAACCAAGACAGAAAGTACAGACACCACAAGTGACAGATGCCTATAGAAAATCCTCTGGAATGTGGCTAGGCACAGGCACACAGAAATGCCTGTTTTGGCATGTATAGACATGGCATCTTGTGAGAGGACAGTGCTACTAGGAACCTTCACAGTGAGAATCTGCATGCCTGTGTGCTCCTTGTAAACCTTCCTAAACTATCCAACTAGAAAATCTTGTATCCTTGAAATTCTCATTAAAAGCCTCCAGGCCCTACTGTTCAGCACACATGCTCTCTCCATCCCTGAAAAGCAAGACCAAGCAGCTCTGAATGGCTTTCCTCAATCTCCCCATTCACAAAATAATTGACCATGACTGCAAAGAGAATTAGTCTCAAACAGAGCTTACTTCAACTAACACCAGAAGAAAAACAGTGGTGTCTCTAACTCTTTCCCTGTTAATGACAATGTCAGGTTATTAATTAAATTGGGTTTTATCCAATTAATGCTTTAGTTTAAAAAATGCTTAAAATGCTATTCCCTTTTAAAAGTCATAGAAGGGATTTGGGGCACTCTGGAAATTTTTTTTGGCTGTACACACAGTTTCCATAATGAAAACAAACCATTCAATTTTACTTTTAGTTCATTTCTTCCTGTTCCCACTTCCAGTTCACACGCTCTTGTCTACTGGGATCACCACAGCTCCCTAAAATAGTTGCTTCCAATGAATTTGGAAAAAGATAGTTGCAAATGACTTAAAATTTTATACCACACTGCATTTATATTCAGTAGCTTCTTCCTAACACTAGTCTTTGAATAATACTACAAACTATATTTTTCCAAAGTATTTGTTCACAGACTAAAATATTCACTGGCCATTTGGATATTGTCCTACTAACAGCTACCATAATGTTCAGTATCTTCAATGTCTTACACAGCTGGTAGAGTTAGCCAAAACAGTTCTCTTTCCAAGGGCACTCTGGTAGGTCATGTTAACTGTTAGATAGAGCTTCCAGCAGGGACTGTAAAAATACAACTTAAAAGATTTTAGTCCACCATGGCTATGCTAGGCTTTGGAGCCTGAAGCCTTGGTGTATGTTTCTCTCCGCAAGCACCCTATAACTTTTTCCTGGCCTGCCTGTCCAGCTCTTCTGAACAGAAACCATGGAGAGACATGCAAGGGTCTCATCTTGCCAGAAGCTGGGAGCTCATCCAGACACAGGAGCTGGGAAGCAACGCAGAAACATTAATAAAGGCATGACTGGTGTTAAACATAAATGAGGCACCAACTTCTTATGCCCCACTAATACAAGCAATAGGTTATAGAAACTCAAAATCCCATCAGAGAGCTCATCAAGTTTTTGTCAACTGGGAAACAAGCCTTTAATTATTTAAAACAGATGTTTGTAATTCTATCATGTGCACATATGAATTTTCTGTTGAGTGTTCTGAAGGTGATAAGTCTTTAACCACTACAGCTAAGTTGATTAAAATTTGTCCAGGAACACTCTTGGGTATGTATTCATCAGCATGCTGCTTCTTTGCAAAAGTGTTAACAACACTAATATTTTTTAAATTATATATAACAAAGGGATGATGTTTTAAGATTAATTCTATGCACTGAAACAATCCACAAACCTTTCAATTTTTTTTTTCAGGCAAAGTATTGAGGGTGATCACTATTAAGCCTAAAGAAGTTGCTATGAATGTTGGTATTAGCTCCAACTGGCTACAGAAATAGTCCTCTCAAGGTCTCCAGATGGCTTCCAAATGGATTATAATTTCTGAGAAACACACTGGTCTTCTGTATGGCAGAAACAATCATTTCAAGTATGTAAGCTAACACTTTACAGAGCTATGAAATGCAAGTTCTACTAATGCAACAGTAGTAGAAAACAACTAGAAAATTTTTTTTCTTTTTGTAAAAAAGATCCATTCCACATTATACTCTAGATATAAATACAGAAATTTATACAACCAGTAAAGAATTTATATTGATAATTACCAAATGATGCTTTATCATTTCTGCTGATGCTACTATTCATCGCTGAAGAGAAAGCAGAGATATTTCAAGTCCTGTCCAAAGCTTAAATCCTGTCCAAACTCCTCAGCTTACTCAAGTCATCAAAAACTTGTTCCTTAAGACAGCAATACAGTCATGTACAGTTCTTGCAAACATTAAATCCTCGCAGTTAGAATAAGCAGCATCAAATCTTCATGATATGAAAATCATACCACAAAAAATACAATCCATGAAAACAGAATGAAAAATACAGGACAGCCTGTGTTATAAATGTATACAGGATGCTGCAGTTGAGAGGTACTTAAGTTATTGGGGTGAAAAAATAAATTTAAAATTACTTCTTTAATTTTATTTTCTGTGGCTCTCACTTACTCATACAAGTGACAAGATGATTTTCTGGTTCTAAGCTAAACAAATTGCTCCAGCTCAGTTATCCTCAATGAGATACATTCCTTGTGACTTTACCTTTCACAAATACTTTTTGCACTGCTAATTATTAATTACCAGAACTGTTGAACTCATAGCCAAGAACTTAATATTTAGGGGGACACAGAGAGCACCGCAGAAATAGCTGTAAACACTACCAATGCAATCATTAGCAGGAAGCATCAAGCAAAATGGAATCACCATAGGGGGTTTTGTCTTGCAAATATATTATTACAACTGTTTTTAAAGTAGGACTATGGAACATCCTCTCATATTTGTTTTATATATTATTTTTCCATTACATGTGAAAAAGGTCTCCTGCCAGTGTTCCTGAAATGAAACCACATGCATTGAAAAACACTGAGAATTTTACCCTTGAAGTAATGTTCATTATCAAGGCTTCATGAAATTTTCATTAATAGCATGAGCAAGTTCAATTAAAAAGTAAAATTGGCGGGTTATCTATTTCTCTACAAAAAGCATGGGAAAATATAAAATGGACATTTATGAAAAAAAAATCAACACCTCTCCTTTGAATTACAGCAATGCAGCATCGCAGTATTAATTATTTTGGGCAGGGATAGAGAGATAATGATTTCTATTTATTATTTACAGGACCAAGCATGTTAATTCCAGTCCCAAAACAAGAAATACTGGAATGAAATAGTCTGAGAGGGTTTTTGATCATATGCTTTACACTTTACTGTTCTTCCAAGTTCAAAGCATTTTTCTTTGAAAGAAAGAGACACTCAGGAGAAAAGAATAGTGTTTAAGGGGAGAGACATAAAAATGTACCAAAGAACATTTTCCCTTGCCATCTTATAAAAAAAATTGATTTTTTAGTCTTCTTTTCTTTGAATTATTGCAAAACATCCCCAACACCTAAAACTATGAGCTGGCTTGATTTCATTCCGTTTCTAAAAAGAAGTCATGAGGCTTTATAAAGGCAAAACTTGCATGATCTAAATCAGAGGTTGCTACAGCAATCAAATACAGTGCACTGAGAAAACCCTACTTGAAAATGACAAAACAGCAACTTATATTTAGCAACCTGCTGCAATTTCAAAACATGCAGCTCTTGTGCTCCTCTCTCTGAGGTGTAGAGCTTTTCAACTATATGAATACCAGCCACTACAAAAAAATGCAGATTACTCTGTTCTCCCTTCAGGCTTTAATGGACACTGACCACAGAAATCGCATGTATTTGACTGGGGAGGAAAAATTTAATCCAGTAAACTTTGTATAGGGATTGTCTTGATAAACTTGGCATGTTGAATCAGGCTCCACAGGATCTGGTTTTCTAAAAAGCTAACTGCTTTTAGGGATGTGTTTACCTTGGTTTTGTTAAGATATTGGGATGTGTGCTTTGAAGCACTTTTTACAGCAGGATTAAATTAGGGAGAATACAGTACATTAAAAAAATGTATTTAGTTCTAGGAGCTGGGACTTTTACAGCACTAAGGAAAAAGCCTCAATATTTAGAATAACCATGAGAGAGTAACACTGTTCAGGTCTTCAAAAAAGCCACATCACTTAAACACAGCTACAATCCACAACCTCCAGAGAGAACCCCTGTAAAAATATTTTGAGCTTCCTTGTCAGATGCATTTGCACTTCATAGCCAACACTAGTCTAAGGCATAGAGTTGCATAAAATTTGCTCTCCTGGGCGTCTAATAAATACAGCATTAATGATACTTACAGTTTTGTTTTTTCCTATTCACATGTTTAAAAAAAACTGCTTAGGACAATCAAAGTTAAATTCTTTGGTGGTCATTTAGAAAAATGAACATTGATCAGTTGTCCTATACTGAGGTAATTTGAGGAGTGCCATAAGAAAGCTGTGTTACAAACAAAATTTTCCCATTTTCCCTGCCCAAAAGCAGCTCCCATTTTTTAATATACTCAGCATAGACCTCTACAGTGACTGGAAGAGATCTGGATCCATAGCTCATCTTAATGCATTACATACAGCAAGGCTGAGAGTTGTAAAGAGATTGTATCTTACAATCAGGAAAGCAAAGAAAGTTCTGCTACGTATTATGTCCTTGAATAGACCAGAAGATTACCTATGTTGTCTACTATAATGTCAATATGCTAAAATGCTGCCACGTGTTAAAATACAGTGTAGCTTATGGAGAACCAAAGGGAAAGGGAAATAAAGCTTACAAAGACTTTGCAGATGTCACCTGAATGTCATTAAAGGGGTGAATGTCAAGTACATTAAAATAAAACCAAAACCAACAAACTTTCCATTGTTTGCCTAACTTTCCATTTTTTTCATATGCTTTTCAAACAACAGCCTGAAAGTCATATCATTTGGCAAATGCATTTTGGTTTATTTTGTATGCAAAACCTAATAGAAAATAGCCTTTTACTTTTGTTTGTTCACCAGAATAATTATTATGTCCACAGAACTCCCAGAGTGGTGAACCTACAGCAGCAAGAAGACAAGGAACTACAATAAGATAAAAATTAAGCCTGTTTTGATTATTTGGATTTTTTTTTTCTTCAATAAAACAACAAGTATAATGGATTTTACTTTCCAAGGGATGAGTCCCATCTACTTGCCATGGAACAACTCCGGTCATATGCATGAGAAATGGAGGGCAAAATCAGGATGCAGTACTTGACATTGTCCCCTCTATACAAGAAAATAAGTTTTGGTAAAAACCAAATGAAACCTGCTCATGAGGAAAACATACATAGATATTAAGATACTCTGTAATGTTTAGGAAACATCAAAGCTATTTGATTAATGAAAGTCAAGCGTTCCTTGTGCTACAATGACACACTGCTAGAAACAGCAAGGAGAGAGCAATTCTGTGCCAGTTTTCTGGCAGGTGGTGCAAAGTCATCTCATCTCAAACAGGTAGGTAGGATTTTTTTGTAGTTATCTAAAATTTATTTTCCATCTAGATTAATAATTTTGTGAAAACTTAACCAGGAAATTAAATAATGAACCTGTTTCATTTAAGTAAAGTGTAAATAACCTTACAAACTCTGGTCTAGAGCAATATCTAAACAAAGATGGTTTTAATTTTTTTAACCTGTTTACACTCATGGATTACTGTCTTGCATGTGATTCATCTTAGCATGCATAGCCTAAAACCTTATAGTCTGGGTTTTTTCATTTTTATGGTCTACTGATGGTGGAGTGCTGTCAAGAAACAAATTGATACCTTTGTAAAGAAATGCACACAGATGCATTTTTAAATTAATAGTCAATCAACAACAAGTAAAAGTTTACCCCACAAAAATCAAATCAGCTGCTACATTTTAAATATCTTCTTATGTATGATAAATAAAATTAAATTTTTCTTTAAGAAAATTTCATTAATATTTAAACCTGCTTTTGAACAATAGAATAAATAAAACCATTAGTGCCTACAAGTTCAAATATGCTACAGCTGTTTAAGATAACTGAATAACTACATTAAAATGCACCATTGAGAAGATTCTTTATAATTTTCCATGCAGGAAGCCAATTGATGTTTTTGTGAGGTACCGGTCTTTCAAAAATTCTCATAAGTTAGTTACCTGATAAACCTTCTGTACACGATATATTTAAAAATCTAACTGTACAGTGTTTCAATCATATATAATCTGCTGAATATGGCACAAATGCTAAGTTTCCACACCCACACACCCTTTGCCATAGAACACATTTTAGGCATAACACAACACTGAAGAATAGAAAAGTGCCTGAAACTGGAGAAAAAAAAAAAAAAAGGACACTCAAGTAGCAATAAATTAAATCTCATTCAAACCGATAAAAAAGTTGTTCAAGTGTTTAAAGCATCAGATGTGTCATGCAACAGAACAACAGACAATTCAGGCAGGCACACCATGCATTATAGTTTGCATTCATGGTATCACGAGGTATCTCTCCCCTCTTCTGCATGGCCAGCAAGTGCTGGATACCTGTGGCACTGCCAGGCTCACGGGTTAAACCTTCCAGACTTCCTGCTCTCCTGCACACGAGGGTTTACAAAGCTGCGCCTCGGAAGGAAAACCAGACGACCTCATGCTGTTCGGTGGCATCTTGCTGCAGCATAAAGAGAGGCATACTGAGCTGCATGTAAGCAAAGCAATCATTCCTTGATTATATTTTCCAGTCGGTGCAGTTCACCATCAACCGATCGATTTACCAAAGTGGGCTTATCCAAACCGGCCAATTTGCATACCAAGAAAACATCTTTGCCGAACATATCACCTTTTCCTTTTTGTTTTGGCACAAATCCTTTTGTACTCTTGCTGCAAGTTCTTCACCACACAAGAATTCAGAGATGCTAGCCTGTACAAACACTACTGCTTATTCTTCCATAAACTACAAGGACAGCCAAGTGCCTGCAACAGCTTTGCTTCTCCAGCAACTTTCTCTTCTCTCTTTAAGAAAAGCACCAGCATAATTACACTTCAGACAAAGGGGTGTTCTTGCTGAGCTCTTTAATTCCCTGGAGAATTCGCTTCATATGACCCACTTTCGTTATCCCCAGGTCCTACAGAAAATTTAAAAATAGAAAAAGAAAACAAAGAGAAGAAAAAAAAGAAGGAAGTTTACTTTAAAATGGGAAAAAGAAACCCCATTGATTATGACCTATCCATGCAACAGATGTCTAGAAATGTGCTCACCGCAATCAACAGTAACCAGGAAGTGTTAGCAAGAGTTGCTTTACAAAAAGAGCATACAATAAATCCCTCTCTGTCTGGCAGACAAAACATTACTTACCTGCCACAGCAACAACCCAGGGCACTTCAATATACATCAAAACCATCTTTGGCTTGACTTATAAATACAAACACCTTTCACAATTTCTGGCAAAATAAAGAGAACAATCTCCCCCTCCTCTCTAACACAGCAACCAAATGCTTGGTAGAATGTGATGGATTGAAATTTCTGTTCAGCAATGTCACTTGATCTGAGGCCCTATGATGTCTGCTTTAATCAGCAAACACACATATCCCCAGTTTCTCAAGGGAAAGTGGGTGTAATGGCTACAGGCATGTAGGACAACTTCCCTTTAGAGAGCAATAGAAAGAGTAAGCTTTTGTTTTTAATTCCAAAAAGATTGCATCTCCTAGCATGGATGTTCCTGATTAGAGAGCTGGAAGAAAAATTCTCAGAAACATGATAGTCATATCCCAAAGGAAATGTAAAAAGCACAAATCTCCTTGTAGCCACTAAATCATTCACATCAGCTGAAATGTTTCTATTATTGGTTGCCAGACCCATCTCTGCACACAACAACAGATAAGAATTTTTTGTAGCAAACTTCTTCCAGTATTAGTAATAGCTTTAGCAGCATCCTTTTTCAATTTTGGCTGGTCCAATGATCAGAGAAACAGAATGGGATGCCCAGCTGTGCTAATGATCTCCCACCAGTCTAATGAATTTTCAGCTCAGTCTGGTGGAAATCTGCTTCCCTTATCTGTAAAACTCAGCTATGAAAAAGTCTTTAAAAACCACGTTTTAGGGGTGTTGAGCAATCAGCAGAGTCAAACACTAGTTATTTGTAGAATAAACCTTACATAAATAGATTATGGTTAAAAAACTAAAAAAAAATTATTAAAGTTTCACCATTTTTCTGAAAGAGAAATAATTTCATTTTAAAAGAAAGATTTTTCCATTATAGAGACATTAAAAAGAAGGGACTGTAATTAGGCATCTTGAAAAAATTTTTCTCATAAAGAGTGGAAAATGAAACCATATATACTATTCTGCATGTACTCTACACAAAGACTGTATCTACATTTCTACAGCCACAGAGACCTCAGAAAAATCTGTATTCTATGTTACTTTAAAATGTTAGCATGCATCTAATTTTGGAAGAAAGGAGTGGTAAAATGGGCATGAAATAATTATTTTATTATAAAGGTAATACAGCCAAGATTAAACAGATGGTTTAATTTTCAGAGAGTCAAGACTGAATTCTGGTTACGTTAGAGAGAAAAAATACTTGGCTGTTTCTTCAGTTGAAAACTATCAGCACTATAAATAGATAGTCATCCTTTACAGGACTTTGGCACAAAGGTGTCAGCATTAAGGAGTTCAGTTTATTCATAAAAGTTCCCAAAGCAAGTGCTGTTCACAAACTATCTGTAAAAAACCTTATGATTTTCCACATCACATAAATTTATTTTATTTTCACTAATAGTCATCTCACTTATAAACAAACATAGTACTAATTTTTAATTTAAGAATAGTTGATGTAGGTAGTAGTCAAATTCATCCTAAAATGACAGTAATATTTATAATTTTACATTTCTGTAATATTATCCTTTTTATGTTAAACTTAATTCTCAAGTGAATCAAAAAAAGCCACACATGACTACTGAAACTAATGAAATAGCCGAGTTGCTATGTGGAAGAAACTCTACATATGGGAAAACCTATAAGGATACTTTCCAAACCACAACAAACCACACAATTTAAAGGTTAAGAACTTACAAATTCTTCAGAACAAATATATTTTCATGAGTAGAACTTTTGTTGGATAAGCAATACAGTGAGGTGCTGCCAGAGTTCAAAATCAGAAGAAACATATTATGAAATTCCAAAAAAACTCAGCCACTCTTCCCACCAACCTTTGTAAAGCATTTCACAACACCTTTGATTCAGAAGCAAGAGATTTTGGGTTTCTTTTCCAGCTGAAGTTGCTGTAATGCTTATCACAACAGCAAGTCTCAAGTGCCTCATCAAAAATTTTGGGGACCCCTTTCTGCTACACTTCCAAGGGAAAAAAACCCCAACAAAACCCCTCATTTTTAATGCTTTTATAATAGTTTTCAGTTTGGTGGAAACTAGAATTTATACAGTCATGACACTAGATGCTATTTGGTATTCTCAGTTTACTGCTCATGCAGAAAAGTTTGCTGAAATATTCTCATCTCGGACTCAAAGAATCTGCTACAGCAGCATATCATGCATCATTCAAAGAACAAGAGCCTCAAATATCTCTGCAATTGGTGCATGAGACAAAATCTGTTCATATCTAATTGATATCTAGTTAACAAAAATTCAATTTGACTAAACTACAGTTTTGAAGAAGAAACTATATCCAGAATCTGAAGAAAAGAAATAGACTTTCTTTTTTCCCAGATATGGCCTTAGAACGACAGTATCACCTCTCCTCCTGCTCTCCCTAACCACTGTGCCATTTCTTGGACAGTTTTTGGCCAAATGTACCACAACTAACAAACAATATATGTAAGAACTCCTTAATCATAACAACATCTTCTAAATGTGAAATCTACCCTACTTGCATCCCCAGTGTTAAAAGCATATCTGAAATCTAACAAATCTTACAAAACTTTTTTTAACAAATCTTAACAAAAGCATGTCTGCAATCTAACAAATCTAACAAAACTTTTTCCATAAAAAAATTTTTCAAAACATGCTACTGCAAAACACAGGGATGAAGTGTCACAGACCTTGTCACAGATTTTAGTTAGACTGGCACTGCTTAGCAAGGTGATCTGTGGCATGGAAAGCCTTTCTCCAAGGAAACCAACATTGCATTGGAACTTTAGGGAGACATCATCCCCTTGTCCTACTAAATGTGTTGCAGTTCTGATTATGACTAAGCTGCCTGAATAGGAACATGATTAAAAAAATAAATAAGATTTTAAAAAGGTTAAAATAAAGGTTAAATAAGGTTTTTTAAAAAAAAGTCACAACTATGCCTTCTTTCTACAGTTTCTGCAGAATAACACACAATTTACTGCCCAGCTATTCATCAAGCAAAAGAAAATCATATGACTGTAAATTTCTAAGATCCCCCTAAATGAAATCAGGCATAAGAGGCTGGAGAAAGATGAGTACTGCAAGGACTGAGTAGAAAGAGGTATTCTGGTTTTTCATTTGCCAGTTGCCACACAGAGCTCCCTGAGAATGGGATCCACAAGCTATGCAGAAATACAATTAGAGGTGCCCAATTCTTCTGTCAGCATATCAATCTGTTCCAGTGATGCATGCAAAGGAAGAGTGTTTCATCAAATTCCTCTCCATGCCGCTTTTTATCTCTACTTTTGACCACAAAAAGAAAGCTGGGCTCAGAGGATTAAATAAAAACAGGCAGCAATTTTTCCTGCTGCAGACATGAAAGGTAATAGAGGTAAATGTATTGCACATGAGTTAGGAGCTCATGAATCAATGGTGATCTTGTTTAGCTTGTCAGGAAGCACAGGCCTTGCAGTGGAGGAGAGGCTGCAGACAGATTACAGCTTGCAAGAGCACTGAAGGCTCATTGCACACCCCGATAGCCAAAGGGAGGAAATATTCACAGGGCAGCTTGTGACGTGTTCCTCATTTCCCAAGTAGCACATTACACATCTTGACACCAATTCAGGTCACTGGAGAAAACTGCAGGCTGCCTGAGACATCCTTAATTGGCTCCCTGCAGAGACCCTGCCCTGTAGTCAGCAGGATGAGCACTAAACTCTGCTATTTAAGTTCAGTGCTGTTGGAATGCAAGCCCTGCCTGGCCAAAAACCTGGCCTAGCTTATGAAGGGCACTGATTTGGAAGCTCTCGGCATCTGCTAACGAGCACATGGGGCAATTCTGGAGAGAGATTTTGGTTGGCTCAGGGCATGCCTTTGGCAACTTGTGTAGAGCAGCTCCTCATCCCACACATCTTTAGGCAGCACTGTATAGAGGAGTTGGCTCTCTGCAGGTCCTCTAAGACAAGCCTTTAGACTTTTCATGGCACAGACATTTGTGATGGGATTTTATATACACCGAAGCAACATGAGCCTTAGCAACAGGGATAACGGGTTGGTAATTACCCTGCTGCAGACATTTACTTGGTTTAAATGCCAGTCCACTGGGCATGCAGTCAAATTGGTACTCATGAGAAATAAGGCATGGCCAGAAGCCATGTCCAGTTTAACACTGATCTTACCCACCATAATTTATGCCAACAAGTTGGACTTTTTAAATTTTCTTAACATTTTAGCAAACCTATGCATTGTGTGATGCTGAGTTTCTCAGCTGAATTTTAAGTTTGTTCAGCACTCATTCAGAACAGAGAGTTGCAACATCCATCACTGGAACACTGTGGTGGATTGCTTGGACAGTCTTCTATTTCTAAAGTTTTGCAGGGAGGGACTGTCCTAAAACTGTCCCTCCCTGTCAGAAACTATCCTGAAAGAAAGGAATTTAACTTCCATGGAAAGAAGCTTAGGCAATCTAATACCAAAGAGTAAAATAATACACAACAGCCAAACATATTATCTCAAACACAGCTATTTTCAGCAGCTGCTTTCTATTGCAACAGTCACACAACGCAAGCACTACCCTTATAACATCAGGATTGCACATGATATAAAAAACTTCACATAAAATAACACATTTGTAGGAAAATATTGTCTCTACCTGGAGACTACTGTACTGTGGCTAGAACAATGACTTGCACTCTAAATGTAAATGTTTGCAATTTATACAATATCCTATTTCCTCTCTTATGTGCTAAAAGCAGTTGCAAAACCCATTACCAAGAACTCATTACTACCAAGTTCCTGGAAAAAGTCATTTAATGAATCCCCAAAGATATAACCACTATTACATATAATGGATGCACTTAAGTCATTCCTGAAAAGGACCAGCAAGCTCAAATAACAGCCTCAAACTGCTGGATAACATTTCTCCCTGCAAAATATACCTATCTGACCTCAGAGGAAAAAGGTTTTAAAATTTTGAAATAAAATACTCTTTTTAAAAAATCTACACAGCCAAAATCAGAGGTCTGTCACCAACGGGAAAACCTATTTTGACACACAAACACCAACACCATGTAAGTCAAATACTGCAATTTATTAAGCTGCTTATCTCTCTCATACCCACTATGTCCAATATATACACAATAAATCATGTGGAGCGGATCAGCCCCTGCAGGAGATAGATTCAAAATAATTATAACCACCATCAACTGATCCGTACTGATCATGTTTAATGGAAACAGTGAACTCTTGAAGAAAACATTATATTACACAGATGCTAGTAAGATATCAAATGTGCTTCTCCTATGCCTTCTGACATAAACTGCATTGTATCATTCTGCATAAAGTGGGGGGGAAAAAATAAAGAAATTTTGGATAAAACAGATATTTTTAGTTGTGAGTTCAAGTCAGCACTTCAGAAAGGCCCAAGGACAGCGTATATTAGTTTATTGCATATTTGCACAGTGTAAGCCAAGCTACAAGCAATGACAAGTGCAGGGAAAGAAGAAAAGTTGGTTGTTGTTTTGTCAAAGAAAATGGTCAATAGCAGAAAAGTAGCACAAAGGAAATACCTTAAGGTCTCGCCTTTCCAGATGTAAAAGCTCAGAGCCTCGGATGTCATGGCTGATGAAGATTTCTTTGTACTCTCCCAAACTGAGCAGATCCAGCCAAGCAGCAACTTCATCTGTGCCCCATTTTTGAACTACCAAAGTTAAGAGCAAAACCCCCTTAATTTCTACATGCTCAAATGCATCACAAGCAAAGGTTAGGCCAAAGAGAGTGGAAAACAGAGTAGAATTGCCGTGCTAGCAAAGGGAAAGGTTAGAGGTGTCTTTTCCACACAAACTGACAATTTCCTTTTTACATGCAGGTTACAGGTTAGCAGTTAACACAAGAAAGTATCTAAACAAAGTTGGGGTTCTTTGCTTTGCAGCCATGCTTTCAGCTTTACTCCAGTTTCTTCAGTAAAGCCTTTAAAACCTCATGTCCCAACAAATTCACATTAAACCAGCTTAGGATCAGTGATGCAAAGTCTAATGTTGTTCTGCTGTATGCCATTAATTTATTAGTAGTCATCCAAGGAGAGGAGAAGCCTTCAAAAACTAATTAACATGTAAAATTAAAATAGCAACTGTACCTCAAATATAGCAATGGCAGCAAGCAAGTCCAGTTTTAATTAACAGATTCTAGTATTCTTAATTAAGACAAAAAGTACTCTTTAAGCTGTGTTACACAGGCCATTAAGAAGCTCTCTGTAAAACATTGTTCTCCAAGGTTAGTTGCCCACATTAGTCCCATTAAGACCACATATATTAAAAAAATAGTTATGCTACTTATTGCTATAATTTTGCAACTTCATTCAATGCTGATTGCTTCACTTTATAATGAAGAGAAATCTGATGTCTAATCTGAAACTTAGATCTGATCAACAACTGCAAGATTTTGTAGATTGTGATCAACTGTTCATTGAAAGAATAAAGACACAGAAACAGTTTTAGGACCATCTAATCACTGATTACATCCTGGACATAATCTTAAGGAAGTGAGCTCACGAATAAAAATGGGAAGAGAGGAGGGTGGAGTTTGTTCAACTTCTAATTAAAAAATCAGTATTGCCTATCATGATTTTTTGTTTGAGCTGTCTCACTTACTGAACCAATAACCCACCCAAAAATTAAGAATAACTGGTTAATTAAACCAGTGTGATAAAAGTTATGTCACACCTAAAACTAACCTGAAAAACCTAAATTGGAGTATCACAGGGAAACAATGTGTTTACCCATGGCTTGTATGGCTATGAGTAAACCAAATGTAACCACCAGCAAAGACACCGATCCTGTTGCATGATAAAACTCTTAAAGTATTTTCACAGTAGTTCTTTGGTTCACTTGGGAGTATTGGGGGTCCTACTGAATGCTTTCCAAATGCACTGAAAGAAATATTTATCCTAATGAAGATGCCAGTTAGCTCAGGTGCTTTTCACTTTGACTTTAGTCTTAGGTAAGTCTTGTCACCTCTTACCAAAAAAATCCCATAAAATCACATTTACTGCAAATGCTACTACTTTTCTTGCAATTTCAAAACACATACCAGGCTGAGAGCTGGTCTTATGCTTCTGAATTTTTTCTTTTTTAAACTTTGGCACTATACGAAACACTGTACTTCTATTGTTTCTTTTAGCATAATCCAGAGGGGGATCCTGCATGAGAAAAGAGGCATAGTTACCTTTAATTAAGAGAAAACAACTGTTACATTATATGCTTGTGATGGTAATTTATAGCTAATCTCAAAAAGTAAGACTCAAATTTACTTCTGTAAAGAATAATGTTAGGATTTAACTCTATACGTGTTTGTATTAGAAATATAAATTAAAAATATATGTTTCATGTATTTATTTATCAATCAAAACCTTTACATTCACAGATGGGAACAAAACACAAAAAAAAGGCACTAAGCTTAGAAGGTTGTTCACAGCAGACAGAAATGATCCAGCAACACTACTGAAAGTTCCTCAAGAGATCATGAAAAATTGTAATTTACTTTCCCCAATCAAAAGAAAATTAAGTTCAGTTAAGATTAGAACGTGTTACTCGAACTTACCTCATCATCATTTGGTTGAAAAACATAATAAAGCCAAGGAATCTCAGCAAGTTTTCTCAACTCTATTTCCACACTGTGCAAAGCATCAGACAACAGTTCTTCATGGGGAGCTTCTAACTGCTGTTTATAAACAGGCCAGAAAAACAGGACTTTCAGTTTCATGAGGTTTAACATTTAAGTCTAGATATCTTGTTGCCACACACAGACAGATAACTACTTCATGGTGAGTGTCAACAAATGGTGAAGACAAATAATCTTCCAAAGTTAGACTTTCCTCGAGAGATGTGTGAGACCACCCTCATACTACATTTAGTGCGGTCCAAATCACAAAGGCATGACTTTGACAGCTGAGACTTTTGGTGTAGAGCAGTTGGGCATAGTTGTCAATCCTTGTCATCCTTCACTGCACTCCTGAGTCTTTACAGAGCAAGAGTTATCTGATAACACCACTGCAAGGACACACTAGAAATGGACACTACCAACAGAAGGAAGAGAAAACCTGATGAGAAGAGTAAGCAGCTGAAAAATCTTTGTATGAAACGTGGTCTACAAAAATTGAGTAGATGGTAATAAGCCTCTGTTATTTTTTGCAAATGTGTTCAGATGGTTGATCACTGTCTCATGTTCAAGTATGAAGAATGGATTATGCTGAAGATTTCCATTCCCAAAGGCCTTCCAGTGGTGATACGATACCTGCATTACCCATTCTAAATAGGTGAGACAGGGAGCAATAGGCACTGCTTCTGGCTAAGGATGGAAAGAACTCCTCAGCAGGAGACAAAAAGACAAAAACATCAGTAAAGGCCAAAGGGAAAAAGAAAGTGGTGGCTGTGTAAAAACATTGGGACTTGGCGATGCATGTGCATTTGGCTCTACTCAGATTTTGAGGACCCCACAGAGATGCCTTTTTCCTTTAAAACTCCAGACTGAAAACTGTCCTGAAGCTGTTGTGTGAGTGAACCCATGTGGAAGAGGTAAGGAAGGCAGCTGATCCCTTCAAAAGCTGTTTTGAGCTCATCTAGGATTGCTGAAACACCATTTTGAGGTAAAGAGTTGAATCCTAGACCAAGTTACTTGGAATCATTAATAAAGCAATCTGAATATCTATTTCTCTCTTTAAAGTAAAAGTAGTCCAAAAGCAGTGCAGAATATCCTTCTGAAAATATCTAATTCTGTTACATCCTAGGGAATGCATTTTTAAAATTGAATTACAAGAAAATCTTGGATCTCTAGTGCTGGAAAAATATTTTGACATTGTTGGAGTTTAGTGATAAACTAAAAACCCCATTAATTTATCCTGCCTAACAAAAATGTCTTTCCTTTGCTTCAGTAGTCTGCCTATGTTCCCATCTTTCAAAGGAGAGATCATCTATAGTAAGATCTTACTGTCTAGTATAAAGACAGTATGAAAATGGAAATATAAGCTCCCTTTGTTATTATGTTATTTTCTCTGTGTGTCCATAAGCAGATTTTGATCTTTATTTTGACCTTTTTTTTTTCCCCATTTGAACAGTTCAGTTAATTTGGAGCATGGGGAAAAAGCCACTTGTCTTTGAAGAAGTTACAACTTTTCTTGTGTTTTCATTTCTGAGAAATTACTCAAGTCATCTATTTTCTATAAAAGAATGAAGCAAAGAATTCTGTCTTTCTCAACAAGTAGTGATCTAATTGCTTGATTCTCAGAGGAAAACATTTTGCCTGGGGACAAAAAAATGCTCATCTGATGGTGCTCCTGAAATAAATCCAAAATAATAATTCTGGTATAGAAAGAATCAGCAATTCAGGGCAAATTCTCCTCCTACAACATCTTGGAATATCTTATTTCCAAGACAAAAATTCAGACTATGAATGAAGAAATAAAAATAAAGGATTTTTTTCTTTCTCTACTTAATTTTTTGATATAAAAATATTTTATTTCAGTGAGTTTAGATAACTTTATTCCATTGAAATGAAACAGTCCATCATACTTTTTCCTTAATGCATTTGAAAACTGAGCTAGGCTCCAGAGTGGAAATGCTTTTTAAAATTAAAAAATGGACACAGTGCCATTGGAAAGTATCTAGACAAAATATAGCATTTTTAATTTTTTCCAAACTGTATTCCTGCCAGAAGCTTCTGAGAGATTCCACAAATCAGCTTCATTGTCCTATCTTGAGCAGCCTGGTCTCATAGAAGATGTCCCTGATCATAGCAGAGGAGTTGGAACTGGAAAATCTTTAAGGTCACATCCACCTCAAAACATTCTGTGATCCTGTGTTATTATCGTCTCACTAAAGATTGTATTTTACCATTTGTTGTGATTTAATGTACCTACTGTTGTATGAATTTGTTAATCATAGTTCTTGCAGGAGGTGGAAGGAACCACTGACTTGTTTTATGATAATTTACAGGTTTTTTCTCTTTCTCAGGAGCTGTAAGAGCAAAAGTCAATAGCCAGTAAATGGCAACCAAAGAAGCAGCTTACCAAGCATCCCAGTTTAGTTGCTGGCTGGGGTTAAACCAAATTGTATAAGCACCAAAGACATGAGTTTACTGCTCTCAAGAGCTTTGACCACAGGAAGGAGGGATGTGGGAGAAGTGAATACACCAAAACTTTAGAGGAAGATATGAAAGAAAGAATGTCTGTTGTTGTCAGAGAAGAAAGATCCTTATTTATGATGGGAGTGCTGATGCATCAAGCAACATCTTAAATTTCATCTCTCTCTCTGTTAATAGAATGTGGGACCAACATAGAGGCAACGTCAGCATTTATAAAATACATGGCAGTAAGGTTAACCAGAGTGCCTTGTTACTGTGACTGTGAAATACTCGTCTAAGTGAGCACAGTGTCAAATGAGTGTAATGGACACCTCTGGAATATTGTCTTGGTACCTTCCAAACAGCCTTTTTACTAAAAAAGGGCCTGGTGTAGCCTCATGAAGACATTTGCACAACCATAATGAGAAGCAGAAGTACAACATGTAAAAATTCAGAACCAGAAAAATGAATCAAATTAAGCTTTGGAGCCTGAACAAGGGCCCAGTCCAACAACACAATGATATCATAACCTGCTGCAGAAAAGGTAATGTTTCAATGGGAAGGTTTCCATAATAACATTATTTCCAAATTGTCTTGATAAATTTCACCAGTCCTAGTATGGCATAACCAACTTAAATGTTTTCTTCTAATTACTTTTGTAAAAATATTAATTTTTTAAAATCTGTATTTTAATTCCCAGCTAAATCTAAAATATATGAGACTAGCAATAGCAATTTGAAAAAAAATTAGCAGGTATTTTTTCCCTTTTCTTGGACAAAAACATCTAATGAAATAATTTTTCTTTCAAAAACGCTGTAAAATAAAGCATGTGAACCTAATCTTTGACTATTTCTATAACTTAAGAAATTATTAGCCTTTAGATTATGTTTACTTTTGCTTACTCTAAAACAGATTTATCACTTGTTTGTATGGTATGCGGACCTGCAGTAAGTACTACATCCTAACTCAGCTAAATTAAAATATTCCTATTAATATCCATTTTTAATTACAACACTTATATAAAAGAGCTAGTAATGAATCTGCTTTTGAATCTAAAGAAAATGTAATTGCTCCGAGTATCTTCTTCATGAAAAACTGGACCAGTATAGAAAACACGACATCTTTCTTCTCTTCATAATGTCAGTAGAGAAGTTTTCTAATTATACATCCAGATACAATTGTTGAGAAATCTTAATCATTTTAGCCACAAACACTTGCCAAAGAAGATGCCAAGTACCATTAAGGGTTTTACTGAATACTTACCAGTTAAAGATTATAAAATAACTCCTGACAAGTATTAGAACAAGAGTGATACTTCCTTGCCCAGATTAGGTCTGTAGAAGTTGACTGTCTAAGTCTAAACATCTCTCATCCCAGGCTCCCCTTAAACTCTGAAGATGGTCACATAATAGCTCTCCAGAGTTTCTCTTAAATGCTCTATCTCCAGAAGATAAATCATCTTTTTCTAACATAGGCCTCCAAGACAGCGGAGTGTGAATTAGCCTCCCAAGGATACCTATTTCTCTCCCCTGACTTTTAACAAAAAGAGCCCAAATAATGACTCAGCTATCTGAGGTGAGGCAAGATGGATGCCCGTCTAAGAGAAGATTTCAAAACTCATGCTGATCCAACCACAAATGCAGAGTAATCTTCTCCTATCGACCTTGCAGAGCTTCTTGCAGTGTGTCCTCACTTTGGCACCAATTTACCAAAAATCAGCAAAGAATAAATCACAGATTATCTGAATGAAGAATAAAATCATGTGCTTTGTGACCTTACCAAAGGAACTCTTCCTACTAGCAGAGATTCTGTTTCATTGTGTAAGGCTTTCACATTGACAGCTATCTCCATGGCAGTGTTTCTGGTAAGGCTCTGAGGAATAAGAAGCATAAACATTCTTTGAAGTGATGCAAGTCAGACTGAGAATAAGTACTTTCACCTTACAGCACAGATCTTAAGTGCCTTCTCCTAGAAGAAATACATCAATACAAGTTTTAAATTGACAACCTGTTCAGCACTGAGAATAGAAACCAAAAATGTAGTATCTATTTGCTGTATTTTCCTCAACTTCATTTAGTATGACATTAATGCAATCCTGAAGATCATCAGGTGATCAGCCACCATATCAATCCATGTATGACAAAGGCCAATAGAAAAGTTGAGAATTTCATTTAACAATGACTATTGACTTCCATTTGTCACCTTACCCTCAGCAGAAGCAAGCTCCTAACCACACTTCAGGAAGCAAGGTCAACTAACAAATTTACCCTGTGTCCATTTAGGTTAGATATGGACTGCCTCTACCTAATGAATCAGTCCTGGGTCCAATCCCAGAAAACACCCAGATTATCTAGTGTGAAGAGAGAAACCAGAAAACTCATTCCCCTCAGCCCCTTTGCCTTCTCTGTATAGCACTTGGATAGCAACTAAGCATGAACATTTCTGTGAAAGCATCCACAGAAAATGACCTTTATGTAGTAACAGGTCTGGTTCAGCCTCTGTCATGCCTCCACCCTCTCTGAGGATATGCCTGCACAGTACCAGGTGGGGAGGACAGTGGGGAATGCACAAACTGCATCTTCTGCTTTCTCATCCAACTTGTTTTCAAATGGGGACAGGGGACAGTCCCCATGCCACAAGCTTGTGCACCCAGATGTTACGGCCTATTTATATAAATCTCTCTTCTTCTTTACCTCAGGAAACCTTGGGTTGGCTTTATTTAATGCATGTGAACATGCATTAACAGCATGAGCAAGCTCCTGCTCCAAGAGGCCATGTACTTTTGCTGCTTCACAGATCCTAAAAAAAAATTTTAAAAGGAGAATAATGTTTCTTAATTTCTTTAAAGAATAATTCTTGAGTACACAACTTCATCAGATGAGAAAATGCACAAGAACGTGTTTCAAAAACCACTTAGAAAATTACAGTCCTTTATAACAAAAATTGAAAAGCAAGTATTTCTTCAAGCAATATAGCACCTTGTAGAAATTACATCCATCACACAGATTATTTATGATGCTACAAAGTACTGAGATACATATATTTGTCATAGAACACTAATGCTATACAAAAAAAATGGACCAAAAAATGTTGGTCCTGTTAATTCAAGTAAACTACAGAGGAAAACTCTAGCACATTGCAATAACTTACTTGAAATTATCTTAAAAACCCTTACACCTATTTCACAAGGCATATCCTTCAGATGTGACATGCAAATTGGCTGCAGTCATTTAAGATTATGGGAGGTCCAACTGTAACTACAACCTCCAGACCATCTCTAGAACAGTAAAGTTTCTAAGATGTCTTGGCTAAACTTCACTTTCAGTAATTGATAAACTAAATTATTTGTCTATGACTGCAGTATAAAGAGAGTATGTAGCCCTTCCTTTCTTATATTACTGGTGATTTTGATGTTAAATATAATTAGTTGCTATGATAAAATTAATAGCAGCTTTATAAAATGTTCTGATTAAAAAAAAAAAGTTTTTATTTATCTTAGCCTATATGAATGACTGAAGTGTCCATCCTGCTGACTTCTAGAGTTGACTTCTAAAGGGTTTTTCCAATAATTCCCAATTATAATTTTGCTTTGTCATAAAAGAGAAGCCCTAATTTTTGCAAAGAAGCTTTACAGTTTTCCATTTCAGTTGCTACTTCAGAATGTTGGTTTACAAGGAAAAAAAAAATCACAAAAACAAATAAATAAAATTTTAAAAAATACATTGGAAAAGAACACAAAAAAAAGTTGAGCCTCAAAACTAAAATAAAAATTTTAAATTAGAAAAAAACAACTGATATAGTGACAACAAAACTTTAAACCAGGGAAAATGTACATGTCTAAGTCTCTGGATGAATTTGCATTAATAATTCAGTCTTAGTTGCCAATCCAACTTATTAATTTTACTTTACCTGGTAATAAGTTCTTCTGCAGCTTGTGAGCACAACTGGATCTGTGCAACTTCTTCTTCTGTAGCCAACTCAACAGCTTGCTGAGGGTATAAGGGAGATCGAATGACAGGTTTGCAGGAATCATACTTCTGTTTGTCCTCCCAAGACTTCAGGGTGTTTTCAAAGGCCTAATCAAAATGAATTATACATTCAATTGACAGCACTTGGGAGTATTCTTTCTCATGAAAAACTTTAATTTTACATTTTACATAAATTTAAATTGCATATTATTTTAGTTAAAATTAATTTAACAAATAAACAGGTGTTTAATTTAATTTTATGTAAATAATACTATCTGATTAAATAACAGTTATACAGCTAGTATAGAGAGTAAGTCACTTCTGAAAGCTTGTTCTCTGTCTCCTCCCCATAATCTTAAAAATGTGTCTTTCAAATCAATAAGAACACAAAGACAGTGATAATTGTTGGGCTCAATGATCTTAAAGGTATTTTCCAACATAAATAATTCTAGAATTTTGCAATTCTCTAACATAAGCACACTTTGTGTGGATAGCAAGATTGAAATTCAAAACTGATACAGAATTCAAACATTAAAAATGGTGGAGAAATAACCAAATTTACTAAAATAGAGTTCAAATTCCACCTTAACTTTGCCCTAAATTCAGGATCCAGCTAGTGGATGGAGAACTGAGGGGCAGTTGTACCTTTCATACAATAACCCCAGACAAGCATCAACTCTCCAGTGGCTTTGTGACTAGGTTGTATACTTGTGTCTCTTCTGTCTGAGACTGGTTCATGGTGGGGAGGGAGGATTGGTAGGACAGAGAGAGAAATCTGTAGGAAGCTATTCTGGAAAATGGACAGCATAGAACTTTGCTATTTATGCAACTGTGCTAGAATTTCCAGTGTGTGATTGGTATAACACACCTAGAGAAAAAGAAAGAAGCAGCAGAAGGGGAGGGAGGGAGGAATAGATAAAATGTTGACCATTCTTACTATATATTAATAAGAATATAGGATTAGCACTAATGAAACAAATAAAACCTAACAAAATTTTGCCACTTATACAAAATAATAATTCTCTATCCAGCTCGTTAGAGAAATTATATCATTGTAAGTAACCGTATGCATTATAGAAATAGTTATAAAACACTTTTATAAGCACTGTTTTGTTCACATTATAACTGAAACAAATTATTACAGAAACCAATGTTAGCAATGGTAGCTCTTTCTGCAACATACTCTGTCTCGTGTTAGCATCTGAGCTCTGTTTTTATGTATGATCTTAATAACTCCTGGGGGCTGGATCCATGCCTCTCCATCGACTTGCACTGGAACCCCTTCATCACCAAGTATGGTGATCTTTACTGACCGACACTGGAAAAGAACAAACACATTATTTTACAGGGCAATAAATACTGCTGAGACTGACAGGCCACCTGTAATCTGTTGATTACGAGGAGCTGTGGCTTCTCTCCAGAACTGTCTCAGGAATTAAGCTCTCCTATACTTCATTCATCATTGAAGACAATGTGTTACCCGCTAAAAGCAAAACAATGTCAGTGCTTTATTAATGTATAGGGTGGTGGTCATCAAGAATCCCGCTATTGCCAGAATCCCAAACTGCTGCCAACCATCCTGCATGCTTGCAAGAAAGCAACAAACCTGAGCTATCCTGTGGTGCTGCAGTTTGATGACTCTGGACACTGCCATCTGCATGCTGCCAAATACAGCAACAACTTCTAAGATTTTATCATCAAATGATGGAGCTCCAAATATCTGTGAGGAAAAGAAAGTATTCCATTTTTGATTGCAAATCCAGTGCTTAGATTGCTATGAAACACAGATTCATTTACAGATTTGTTTTCAACATTTAAATGCTCTAAGTTCTTTACTGTAGAATAACTACACTGTTTCTCCAAAGTCATAGGAATAAGATACCACAGACAACAGGCAAATATAATTTAAAAAAGCAATGCTGATACCATTTGAAATATCTGGATGACAAGGCATATCCTTATATAGAAAAGATAGCATGTTTCAGAATGCAGATTAAAAATGTTTTTTGAGGCAAGAAGAAAAGCCAATTAAAATCTCTGCTTGGGTAATGTACTTAATATCTAAGAGGTTCTTGAAGGTAGGAGAAGGTATGAGAAATAAATGCTTTCCTTTTCTTCTCAGAAGTGCTGATCTGTTTATATTCTGAATTCTCTGGAAACCAACATCCGAGTCCATGCTCTGCTCGGCTTAACAGAGCTTTGATACTGAAGGCAATCTTGTTTGTGCTGTCTATAATTATCCACTGTAAACAAGAAAACCGCTTCTCTATGGAACAGATGTCCTTCTGTGCAGCCGAGGTGCAGAATTTCCTCACACAAAGCCAGGAACTCTCGCCACCTGGTGTGCTGCTGGGGAACTCAGCCTCAGCGCAGATCTCAGGCCGCACTTTGGCTGGGTCTGGTGGGTGATACCATGCTAAGGTCACTTGGAGCTTGGGCATTTCATCCTGATATGCAATAAGGAGCAATGAGGGAAAAAAATCAGCAGGAGACATCACTCCAGTAAGAGTTTAGTGGGTAGGGAGATCACCTCTCTGAGCAGTACTTGGACTCCCTCAGTTGGCACCTCAGGCAGAGTACACTGCATCAGTAACACCTGAGACGAGACTGGAGAAAAACAGTTTCTCCATCTGATTTCTTTTTTCCAGTTTCCATGGAATTTTTTCCATTTTTCACAGGAATGTATTAACATCTTGAAAAGAACCAAGATCATGATTCTGCAGTTCCACGAGAAAAAGTGCGGAGAGTTCTTGATCCAGTAACTGATGTTTACAGGGCTAGCTCTGGCATGTGTTAAGAAAAAACAGCCATAAAATTTCATTTATTTTGTGTTGCCATTTCAGCAAAAGGACAGGAAACACTCAACCAAGTCTTCTGCTGTGTCTCTCCACCAGCAATATCTGTACCGATAACCAATCTCTTTTTTCTCCTTTTTTTTCTTTTAAAGGCAAACCAATCTCTGTGTATCAACATTCAAATTGATTCCTTTCCTGTTGCAGGTCAAGTTTCCAGCCTGTCTTCTGGACACCAAAATTACATGCTGTGCTCAGGCCAGTCAGGGTGCAGATGCCCTGCTTTGCTCACTGCTAATGTTTCAGCAATCATCAGAGCTGTCAAGGTAACATCTTTCATTTGTCCAGACAAGCAGAACCAGCAGCACTTCAGACCACCATCACCTCTTGATGCAGAGTCATTCAAGACTGCACTAAAGCAGTGAATTATGCTCCTAACTTTGGCCAGAACAAACATGTCACTCTGCTGGCACATCTGCTCACTAGAAGACTAATAATATCAGTAAAACTGCTCCAGGACACACACATTTACTGTATACCAGTATGAAAGCTGAGGCAAATCTTCTCTCTCACTGAAGCAGTCCAGGGAGAAAAAAACCCTCCTGAACAGGGACTGAGCAGATGTTAGAGCAGCTTTCAAGTTCTGACTATGAACATGGACTATATATAAAAGCTTTAGATATGCATTGCCAAATATAAACAGAATTTACATCCTCTGACATATACTAAAAATAAGAAAAGGAACTAAAACATGTCTAAATTTCTTTTTTCACTTTTACATATGTGTATATATATACATATATATATATATATATATACATATGCAATTCTATATGTATTATATAATATAAACATGCAATTACATACAATAGATATGATATTCAATAACATATGTAGATATGCTTGTATGTATGCATTAAAAAATGAAAGGATAAAAACTCACAAGAAGTGAGGCAAAAGAGTCCTGGATTGTCTACATTAAATTCACAAGCCAGCTTGCAACTACAATTTTAGGTGATTCAGACATCACACATTAAATCAGGACATGCAGATTAGGATAATCTACTAGTAATTACAGTTGGTGAGCTGTGAGTGAAGTGGGTAGGGGCAGTAACACTGTTCCAGGTTGTAAGGCATGTAGGGATCCATGTGATGAAATGTTTCTTAGGAGTTGAAAGAAAGAAGGGAAAAAAGGTACCTTAACGTATTTTAAAGGTTCATTTAAAATAATATTCAAAAACCAGTTTACTACCCCAACTAAATTATCAGACACTAAATGCATCAGTCTTCATTTTCTGGATCACCATCCCTCACAGCAAAGCTGTTTGAAAACAGGAGGAAAATTAAGGTATAAGCTTTGACTGATGATCCTGTCTACCTTGCTTGTTGTTAGACTATATCAAACAGCAGAATCTATGCTTTGAGAAACCTTATTTACAGGCATCTGTAAAACAATATAGAGAAAAATTACTTGTGCCTCTGTTTATAAAATTAATTTCTAAAAATACTCAAAGAGCCATTTAAAAAACAAAATCATTATGTTTTATTATGAACATTTTGCTGGAATAGATATGACAGAAGAAAATGGACAGTAAAAAATCATGGAACATATTTTCAGTTTAAAAAACCAGCAAGACCATACAAGAACTGAAACATCCTCCTGAAATAAGAGTTGCTATCCAAACTATATGCTACTACTTTTAAAGTCAAGTGAGAAGAGCAGTTCATTATATTTATTGCTGGTTTTGCCCAGAAGGTTAAGCCTCTTTAATGCTACTTACATCATCTTCTTTGGTTCCACCCCAGAAATTAGTCCCACCAGCATAGCTGGGAATGTTTAGCACAGCTATGCCCTGCAGGCTTGGAAGGGGGATGTACTGTCCATCACACTGTAAGGGATAAATGCTCCTTCAGTACATAAATAATATGATAAAAGTAATCAGTAAAGAGTAATTTTTAGCACATGAAGTTTCAACAGAGCTGGCAGGGGACAACAGAGTCTTTAAGAGGTCTGGTACAAGACTGGTCCCTCCATGCAATGCAGCACCTCTAAAACAAACCTCTTCTTTCCAATCTTAGCAGAGGTGAAAAATATGTAGCTCTACATGCTGTAGTATCTACAGCAGTGGTGCTCCATGAGTCTTGAAAGAAACATTTTCACATCCCTTGTTATGAAATTTCTCTTGCACTTTGACCATGGTCTGTCCATCAAGGATTAAAAATCTTTTTGCAGTAAGAAAATCAATCTCCCTGAGTGCACACAGGAAGATTGCCAAGGACATTATAAAAAGATTCATTTATACATTTAGGAACTAGTCTTCCATCCTATACCAGCATTCCCAAAATTGCAATTGTAACTTGTTATTCAGTCAAATCCATTTAAACCAGGGGCTGGGGGGTGGGTGTCAAGAATATCCAATAATATTTCTGGCATAGCCACAAACATGTGGTTAGCTGTCAGTATTTGCATGTATTGTTGACTTCCTGCAAAAATAATTTCACTCTCCTCCCAAAAGTGCAAAGACAAATCTAGGACTGACCCCACAGGTGTCACCCCGGCTGTAGATGGGAGTTGTTGATTTTGCAGGTAAGAGGTCACCCTTATTTCCAACCATCTAGTCCTTCCTTCTTACTGCTTTATCTCCCAAAACACATAAGCAACTCCATGTCCTGCTCAACAGGATCATGGGATGGCATCAACCTCCCTTTTGGCCAAGAGTAAGTTTACAGACACCAGTGAAACCACTGTTGATTTACAGCAGTACAACTGCCTGCATGGGGAAGCCCAATGATCTCAAACCATTTCACTGGGAGTCAAAAGTGCAGTCCTGCAGCAGTGCCACAGGCATGGAATTGAAGCAAGTTATAAGTGACAAGCAAGGTGTCACTTTATGGACCATGAAGTTGCCAGTCAAGCTGCCTTTAATGAAGATTGCTAGATGTCTGCATGTTACCAGTCCACAGAAGTATCTTAAAATTATACAAATGAAAAAGAAAATCTAAAGAAATAAGGACAAAATCTGTAGCATCTTAACCAGGAGGAGAAAGCGATGCAAATTATTTCCAGAATGTGCTTAGTGCTCTCTTTCTGTGATTTAATCTTAGCAGCAAGACAGAATGTAACATTTTAATCAAGATGTGTCAGTATCCAAAATATGGTGAGATATTAATAGATGCTGCATAGCCATTTGTATTACAGTAGAAGTCTGCTTCTAGTGCCTGAATATGCAGGCATAATATATCCAATAATATGCAAGACAACAGTAAAAGTGCAATTTTTACCTGCTGACTGACTTACAGGAATATTAGGAAAAAAAATATGGAAAGGTCAACAGTATTATTGAATCTTATTTGAATCCAATTCAAAAGATCCTTAAATTAGAATTCTATCTCCATGTATACATAACGTTCTCTCCTGGCATTATATCTGCTAACTACTGCATAATTCCTTGATAATTACTCAATCCTTAGCTAACGGCAATCTGCTGCTACCAGACAAAATCCTCCTAAATCTCAGAGTGAGAAAGAGCTCCAGTAACCTAAAATTATTCTTTCAAGTTAAAAAGTTAACCTCATATAAATATCATAAACTTCCATATGAAATAGTTAGTATGAAATACAAAGAGAAATTATATATATTATACATAATTTCTGTCAATGTCCACCTTAGATATTCTTTGGGTGAAAAGAACAGTAACCATCCTGTAGTCTTTTTCTGCATTTGGGAATCATTTATATCTCCTTTAAGTTCCCAGTACCATGTGGAAGACTTAGATTTTATGTTAGAACTTAAAAGCCAAATAAGAACTATGTTTAGACATGGAATTTGTTGTTGCTTTGATAATATCTTGCTGCTTTTTTTGTGTGAATATTAGAGAAAGTCTCTACTGCTGTAGCTGGGCTTCTTGCAATGCATATTCAGAATCTCCTCCCTTTTGTCAGGAATTTTTTACTATTTACACGCTCTTCCTATATGTGTAGCTTTCATATACTTTCAATTGAACCTGAAGGATTAAGACTCCTTATCTCTTTTATTCACTTAATTTTATGGTCATTTCTGTGGTTGCCATTAAAACCTGGTCTGTCTTTTTACACAGTGAACATTAAGAAATATATCCTACCTACACAATTTATTCTCTTTTTTCAACCCAGTAATTACAAGAAACTGGGTAGTTTTTGATCTTAAAATACCAACATTTTACTCAAAAACGTGACTTGGAAGACCGACTTTTACATAGCACATCTTTACAAAGTGCCTTTGAGGTCAGCTTGGGTTGATGTAAGAACGATAACAGGTTTCAAAAATAAGCACTAATTCTTCACTACACATTGTGCCAGCAACTTTCTCCATAAATAAAATTTACCTCAAGTTGAACTTTTTGTTCTAAGTTCTTGTAAGTTCTCTGCAATAGCTCTTTTGTGCCAAGAACTCCATACCACATCATGTTTTTCGTCCGACTTCTGAAAGCAGGCAAAATAAGATTCACATATTGACATACACACATTATTGTGTCTTGCATTTGTAAAATTGAGAAATTCATATAAAGAGATAAGGAAAAGAAAAGAATGGAAACATCTTGGCTCTCTTATTGACAGAGTAATTATATTACCTGCATTTTTCAGGGTGCTCTTCTCTCTTGTTATTAAATTCTAGGGAAATTTTTGCATCTAACCCAATTCCAAAGTAGTTGTTCATGACACATTTTTCTGAATATCCCTCCCTGTTAGAGGAAAAGAGAAAATCAGGTGTACATTTGTACAGAACCTGGACACGCAAACATCTTTGACCAAAACTGTGATTGGTCACAGAACAGAATATGAACTAAGATACTTCAAGAGATCTTTCCTCTGAATCTTCCTAAGTAAACTGGTTTGGGCTGAAAAACCCATCTCTGAAAGATTACTGTCCTCCTCCTCCACCTGAGCAAGGGATAAGTGAGCAAATGTCTCCCCTTATTTTCAGCTGCTGCAAAAAAATTTGCAATGCTCATAACTAACCTAGTACAAGCCAGCTTGTTTTCAGACACTGTGGTCTACTGCCAAATGATGGCAAACAAGAACTTCATAATGCAAAAAATAAGAGACTACAAAAATGTGAGAATGATACCCTTAGGAAAAGCAAAATAGTATATTTAGAAAAAAAAATATTTCTTACAAGGAATCTGGATCCGGGTCAATAAACGGCGTAGCACCAAATGGATCGATGTTTGCTAGCAACATTTTGCTAATAATTGAACTTCCTGCAATGGAAGCAGCTAGACCAGCCCTTAAACCTGATTAAAAAGGAAAAAAATAAAAAAACAACAGAACAAAACAGAAAGAAAATAACAAAAAAAATTGTATTTGATAAATAGACAAACATATAATATAAGCCACATACTGAGAAATAAAATTCATTAAATCTGTACAGGGAAATATTGTGATTCTATCTCAATTTTTACCAAAACTGGTTATCTTTTCAGGTCTCTGGCTCTCTTAAGCAGAAAGGCAGCTATGCTGCATTGGGGTGGCTCTCGCAGCTACTACCATGGAGAAAAAAAAACACAAAGAAAATTTAGGGTTTCAGGCCAACACTCACTGCCTGGTGTACTAACCAGATGGGTGACCTAACATCCAAAAAGACTGCTAGACCTTTTCATTCAGTTTACTCTTCATCTCCTAAATGTCCATGATTTTTCTTTTGTCCTATCTTTTGGAAGCATACATAAGGAATATTCTCACCATTTTTACAACTGGGAGAGCCATCATTTAACTTAATTTTGAAAGCTCATGGGTTTAACATGCCTGCTTTGACTAATATCAATTTCATTCCACAAAATACTCTGTAATGCATGTAAACAAAGCAAAATACTAACAGCTTTCATTTAAATTTGCCAAAAGAAGAAATGTAAGCTTGGTTCCACTGTGTTTTAGCTATACTATTAATTAAGTTAATTAAAACAGAGTTTTACTAGTGCTCTCTAGTATTAATTCCATTTGGAGCAGAACAGACAGTTTTTCATTTATCAATTGAATTTAGGTAAGAATAGATTTTTTTTTTCCAACTATTTTACAGAGCAGCTTTGTGTGGTTTCAGTTATCCACTTCCAGAGATATCCACAGACAGTTCTTACTCAGTGGGTTGAACTTTACATAGCTTTGTCCCTCAGCCTCTTCATCCTAATCCATTGATTAGGATAAATGATAGAAGGATTTGGGAGCACCTGTGGATGAAAAATTGGATATGACCTGGCAATGTGAGCTTGTGGCCCAGGAAGCCAAACCTGTCCTGGGCTGCATCCAAAGCAGTGTGGACAGCAGGGTGAGGGAGGGGATTCTACCCCTCTGCTCTGCTCTGTGAGACCCCACCTGCAGGGCTGCATCAGCTCTGGGCTCCCCAGTATAAGAAGGATATGGACCTGCTGGAACAAGTCCACAGAGGGCCCTAAAGATGATCAGAGGGCTGGAGCACCTCTCCTGTGAAGACAGGCTGAGAAAGGTGGGGTTAATTCAGCCTGGAGAGGAGAAGGCTCCAGGGAGAATTTATTGTGCCCTTTCAAAATACAGAGCAGATTTATAAGAAAGATTGAGAGATTTTTCACCAGGGCCTGCAGTGACAGGAGAAAGGGCAAAGTTTTTAAATTCAAATAGGGTAGGTTTAGATGGGACAAAACGAGGAAAATGTTTGGGATGAGGGTAGTGAGACATGGGTAGAGGTTTCCCTGTAAAGAGAAGCTGTACAAGCCCCACCACTGAAGTGACCAAGGTCAGGTTGGATGCTTTTCTGGGAAACTTGATCTAGTGAAAGATGTCAATGCCCATGACAGAGGGCTGTACTAGATCATCTTTAGAGGTGTCTTCCAACCCAAACCACTCAGCATTTCTATGATCCTGAATTTTACTTTTCATCCTCCAGGATCAAATGAGGCACTTCTGCTACTTCTGGTGTTGTGCCAAAGGATCAGAAATATTCTACATTATTATGCATTTTCTCCTATACAGTACCACACAAAGATGTGTATGTTGGATGAAACTAATTCATGCATGAAGTAAAAGTCATTATTTGACAGCAAGCTTACCTGGACAGATAATCCTCGTGTTAAGTACTGGGAGGTTTTCCTTACTTGCTGCCAAAGCTGGGGTAGAGAAAGAACCTGTCTGAGAATGGATACCTCGGCTTGTACGTCTATCAGGAGATCTTGGTGCAGTTTTAGCTGTGCAGAAAAAACAGAAGTAAGAACACTAATTAGACCTATTATGACATTATCAATACATAACTTTTACAGCCCTGAAAATATATCAGAAGCATTAATTTATTCTTTTACCACTCCGTGACAAAAGTCCTTCCCCCTCACACCACAGTTTTTCTTCTAAATACAGTAAGAAAACTCAGAAATATAACAAGGGACAAACACAAATTAGAATGAGCAAGTGTTCATGGCACTCCACATGACAAGTTCCCAACTTATACTTGAAGCTACCAGCAAAAGTATTATATGCATTAAATGGAAATATGTTCATAAAATATATCCATCTTAAAATGCAACAGTATTTAACACTGCAGTAAGCTTCTGATAAACATACTACTGAAATAATTGAATTTAAACTTAAATTTCATCTATGTTTATTTATAAATATACACATATTATACAATATATTGTCATTTATAACAATTTTAATGTAGGTAGTTCCATGGCCTGTAGGTTAGAATATGTATCTTATCAACACCTACACTATTTTCTTCAAGCAGCTAAAATGGGCCCATGCCTGCATCAGATGCTGAAAAAATCAGAGAAAACATCCTTATTTACAGCCAAACTGAAAACTGCAAGGGAAGAGAAAAAGCCATGTCCGTCTTTGCCTTCTGAATTTAGAGAGATTGTGGAGGCATCAGTTTTCCATCACCTTTTTTCCACAGAAAAACTCAGAAAACAAACAAACCAGCAATTTCCCAAATAATAAACTTATTTATTAAAATTCTTCGGAAGTTGGATCAGTGAATCAATGTTTAGTAGCTGTTATTGACAAAGGCTCAGGAAAAGGAAAGGGAAGAAAATCAAGGGGAAAGAGAAGATATTCACAAAGAGTAACTGGAAGCTCAGTGAGGCCAGTTATGCTCTGGCTGCCTCTGGAGGCAATGAAGAAGGATTGGCTTTGCAGAGGGCTGACCTCGGGTGCTCTCATTTACTTTCCTGGCAGAACTGGTTTCATGCAGCCTCAGAGAATATGCCAGTGCCTGCTTCAGCCTGGGAAAGTCAATCTTTGTGCAATTCAGCCCTGTCAGACATACCCAGAAACCAGTGCCCCAAGGAAAAAGTTTGGGTATTACCAAATACTTTGTTATAGCATTCCCATGTGCATGTAGAAAACTCTTGCACAACAGATGGTCACTGACAGACACTTCTTGGCTATCTCTGCTCCAAATTATCTCACATCTTAAAACTTCAGCTTAGGACAACACCAAACTTTACCATCTGAAGAAGCTCAGAACAAAAAAAGGAAATAATTTAAAGATAATGTGATTTTTCCTCTCAAAAGATGAAAATTAATCTGGCAAAAATAGAATTAGTAGGACTAGCATCAAGACAACAGCAGGCAAACAGCACCAGGAATGAGGTGGGAAGCATACAATGCATCCTTTTCAATGTCAGGAGTGAGACAAATCATGTCATGTCAATCATAACTTAGCCTGAGAGTAATGGGTGTACTGTATGAAGACACTTATGGAAAGAAAATGTTGAGTGGGAAAATCTAAAGACAAAAGGATTACTAGAACAAGGGTTTAGACTGATTGTGTTCACATCACTTCAGGCCAGGATTTGCCCATTCATGGGGATTTTTTTAAGTGATGATAATCTACATAGAACTGTAAGTGGAATGGCAAACTCTTCACTTTCTTGTATCCATGAGTAAGATGACATACCTTTCTGAATGACTTGCTGAAGTCAAACAGAAATTATTATACACAGGACAAGGAAAATTGGATTGTTTTATATGAAAGGACTGACCAAGTGGACTAAAAGTCATCTCCTTCTGACTTTAACACCTGCATAACAGCCATAGCAGTTATCACAAAATGCTACAACATTGCATGGTAGCAATACAACATTGATTTGTATTGATGCATGACAAAACACTGTAATAATGTCAAAAAATAAAAAGGAATAAAAATAGCAAGTAATAGCTAAGAAAAGTCATTAAATATTTAGATGAAGTTATTAACATACGGAAAAATATTATCTTCATCAAATGACCAGGAAGATCCTTGGAGGGTAAAATATAATACTCAGAACAAATTAGCATTCATTTTTCATAATACTACTGAAAAATTCACAACACTGTTCACACAGTCTGTTCTCGCTGCACTTGCAAACAAGGCAGTTGTATTAAATAGGAAAATCAGCAGAGCAGCTGCTCTTTATTTGACAGATGAGACTCATGGGAATAACTGCAATAAAGATAAACTTTTGCTGTGAATGCTCTGATAAAAACAACAGAGCCCTAATGAGTAAAACTGATGTTTCAGTGCAGATAATTGAATTAATGTTCCATGCTTTGTCCCTAAACATCCAGTGACAGCATTAATATACACTCTATTCCACACACAGAAGAATAATACAGCTCCCCATCAGATGCAGAAATTATACCATCAAGAAACAAGGAGTTCAGTAAATTTCTAGACCTGAATATCTTTATTTTACAGTTATGGCAGTAGGACTGGGTCATCTGTACGGCCAGCATCCTCTCTCAGCTACTACTGAAAAGGGGCAACCAACAGGCACTGATTCCCATAACCAAGAGAAAATAAAGGCACCAGTGAAGAGACAATCACTGGAGAAAGCCTGACATGTTTCTGGAGAAAATGTGAGATCCTGGATCAAGAGAAGCCCCAACAGCCCCACAGTGTCTCATTTCCAAAGTAGAAGCTACAGACACAGGCACCAGCTTCAGAGCAGAACCTTGTGAGGACAACTTTAGAGGATTTTAGTGTGGATTAGGGTGAAAAAAGGAGACGCAAATCACAAAATACTTTTCTCATTTTGCCTCAAAAAGTTGCTCACCAAGTATCTAGAGGATGGGCTTTGATGCCTACCAGCTACCACTGCTTCTCTATGACTCACAGATCATCTTGTGGCTTCACCAGCAGGACATCACTGTCAATTTTGATAACATGGAAAAGACTGAAATTTCCACTGCTAAGATGCAGCATTCCTAACATTTCTATGTAGCTTGAGAATCTCAGTCTACAACTGAGATATGCTACTGCCACCATCACCTAGGCTCTAGGCTTTGCTCAGGTTCATGTAGAAAGATGAGTGTAAACACTGATTAAACAGAGATTAAATTCAGGCACTCCTCTCCCCAACAAGTGCCTCCTCAGCTTTGTAAATACATTCCAAAAGACTGTTCATCTATTATTTCCCACACTTTTCACTTACCTTCTATTTATTCAAATCTATTAGAATTTGTGAGTAGCTTCCAGTTAAACAGAATACTAGTATTTTTAATTATGGAACCAATCATGCTCCAAATACAACTATAAGGAGATGGAATATTTCTATTTTATTCCTAATTTACTCACTTGATGGAGACTCAAGTTCCTTTGTATCTTCCTCTTTTTCCTCTTCTTTGGATTCATCCAGTTCTTTGCTGTATTCTACTGGAGACTGGTTCACTTGTTCTTCACTATGAGCATTCTGCTCATCCACAACTGTTATTAAAAGAAAAGACAAAGTCTGAAGGATTCTAAAGAAAAATTGCATATATCGAAATAAGCACTTTCTTTGGTAGCTTTTAGTTTTAAAATATCAACAAAAGAGTTCCATCACCAATTCAGTGAAAGAGTCAGTCAATTCTTTACCAGCTGATAAAGATTTGCAGTCAGAAATTTTCATTTAGTGGAGGCTAGTAGTTAAAAGAAATGCACTTTTATATGTGCACACACGCACATACATAAGTAGTCACACCTGCAGAGTCATCAACATTCAAACAAGCTGCATTTCTTTTCCTTGCAGCTTACACAGATAAAATTATGCAACACATAATTTTATCTGTGTAAGAATATAGAAATCAAATTCTATAATGAAAACTTATTCCAGTTAGACAAACAAACAAGCAAACAAACACCATTATCTACTGGAGTTAAATACTAATATTGCTGGGAGCATGGGAGGGGAAGGGAGAGGTTATTGGCACACCTGGGGAAAGGACTGGGATACTGAGACAGGCTATTACATCACACCACAACAATTATCCTATCCTATTCTACCAGTCTGGATCAAAATATTGCTCATGTGCACCTTTTTCTGCTTGTTCAATGATCTGCCTCACAGCCTTCTTCAAGCTGTTTGCTCGGAGCATTAACTGTTGCCTGGGTTTGAAGAGCTTCTGGGAAGACTTTGAGACACACTCTGATAACTGCTCTTTACTTTCAGACAAGGAATCTTCACTTGAGAACTCCTCTGGTTCTTCTTCCACGATGGGAGGAGCAATGCCTGGGAGAATGGGAGCAGCCTGGGCTTCAGTGTGAAGAGCCTGGAGCAATAGGTCCAGCTTTTCATTTAACTCTGAGCACTAAGACAAAGGGGAAGAGACACACACACGTTAAAAAAAATTCAACAGTGAACATGTGAATATTTTCAGGAAACATGGTGCCAGATTAGATATGAAACTGTAGGTATCTTTAATGTCTATGTAATTTCTTAGGTAAAATCCAAAAAGAGGTTCAGTGTTTCAGAATATCAGATTATGAGTAGGCCTGCAAGGGCTTTCTGCAGACCCTGTGACAGTCAACCAGATTAGATCAATTATAATGCAAAACCCCTACACTTAGATTCAAATAATACTCCATGTTAAACTCAGCCTGCCCCATAACTGTATGGATTGCATCCTACCCCTCTCCCAATGACTTGCAGCACAGAAAACCACCAGAGGTTTGCCCATACATGGTTTTTCAGTACCTCAATTTTGAGAGGCATCTATCAGCTGTTAGACTGAGACACATGGGGGTTTTTCTGCAATACAGCTGTATATTTAAGCAAGTGAGTTGTCACAGAGCAAGCGGCTCAAGCCAGATCAGACACTGTCAAATGCCAGAATCAGACACAGTCAAATGCCTCTCCCCAACACTAAGTAATTGTTCTCTCTAGGTACACAGGAAAAGAAAGGATTTTCTGCACCTAAGACAAAGAAAACACTCTCTGGCCTTGGAACAGTTAAAAAGAAAAACTAATTTTCTAAAACGTGCACCGGATGGAAATGTGAACCATAAATTGCCACTTAGCAAGTACATTTTCTGACTCTGGGATTGCCAAGGATTTTGTTTTCTTCTTTTCTTTTGAGGTCATATAAATTTTGTGTCTCATACCAAATCCTTCTGTTGTTTTCTTTCCCAATGTTTTTGTAACATGATCTCTGTATTTTGCAGCTTAAACCACTATTTTTAACATTGTGGTCTGTCTCCCCTTCATTCTCGCAGCATACTCTTCATTACTCCATTGTTTTCCTGTAGCTAACTTAATCCCTAGAAGTATAACTAATGCAAAAATAAATCCTTTTATCTCTATGTATGCTACCATCAACTTTATCCTTTGAAGAAAGAAAGTGCAAACAGTTTAACGAGATCTCAGACTTTAAAGACAGTTTGGAAATAATTAACTCTCTACAATAGGAAGAAAAGAATTTTGAACTCACTGGTTGAAATGAAAGCCAAGCTGGGCATTGTAGAGCAATGTGAAAATTAAACATCCATGAGCTATAAACTTTAAGAACCCAATGACTTTAAACCTGAATGTAGTCATAATCTTACTTTAATGGCCATGGCATCCGCTTCCTCTGCATTTTCCATTGGTTTTTCGTAAGTCTTCCCTATTTTGGCAACAAAGTCCTTTACAGTTTCACATAATATTCTTCAGGTAAAAAAAGGAGAGGGAAGAAATCAAATGAAATTAAATAGATATGTTTTAAATATTACATTCTTATGGCAATTTATTTACATGTACACTGCTATGAATCATTCTTACTGGAAACTGAACTCCATGATCATACTTGCAAATCAGATGACACTCTTTTCCATAGCTTCCAAAACTGAACTGATAAGTTTTAAAATAAAAATTGTTTCACTTAAGCCTTGGCATACTTTGTATCTCAGATTCTTATCTGAAATAAACATGACTGATTTTATTCACTCCCTTGCTTGTAAACCTTCCCTAGGAGAGGACTTTGCAAACTTGCGTTCCCTTTGGTAACTTCAAACACAGTCATGCAAATTCACATGCAAAGTTGGAGCTTAAAAACCATGGAGAAAATCTACTGACTTTAAGGAAGCATTTCTTAGATGAAAGCATATGGCCACACATATCCCATTGCACAGCTCCTGCTTTTGAAGCATATCTGTGCAAACTACAGTGGCTGCAATGAATTTTCAGTGTGTAAATCAGAAAATGACTCAGTTCTTGTTACCTGCACTGCAGAGAGACAGCGAACTTACTAATGAAGTGGGGATAATTGCTTAGTACTGTTCATTTGGTTGACATTTTTCTGATAAATTAAACAAATTTAACAAGGTACAGAACCAATTTAGAATCTGGAGTTAATAATATCCTGCAGTTTAATCTTCTATGTGTGCTATGTATAGTTTAAAAATGAAATTTTGTTAACTTGCTTTTACGAGGTAAAAAAAGATGCGATGATATTCAGATGCATTTTAAAAAATTCTATGACTGGTCTTTTGCATATTGCAAATCATAAGATTTTTTTCATAGAGAAGGTATACACAGAACAGTTCTGATTTCAGATATGTCCATGATTTTCCAAATTTCTCTCATTTCAAAATGTTTCAGTTTGGGGAAAAAAATCCCATTAATGTCCTAGGTCAGTTTTGATTTAACTGATATAGACAGGGCTACAACAAAGCTACCTAAGCTAAAGCTCTGCTTCACACTGGTGAAATTGTTTCTCCTCTAAACATGCACATTACAAAAAATAGCCAGAAGAAATGCAGTGTGAAGGAGATCACATCTATGCATTAGTAACAGCAAGTTTTGTATTTAAGCCATGCACTGATTTGGAATGATTTAACATCATTTTAGATAGATAATGTGTGATTGTTTTTTAAATTTAGTATTAAGCCATCCATTACAACTGTACCATCTAAAAATTTCACAGAAAAGAACATCCACTCTAAAATATATAAATCAAGATATATTAAGCCAAGCCATTTGGCCATCCATAAGAAAATCAGGCTTAGACAGAATGCTATTATGGTGATGATGTTACGCAAGAAATTTATCTCCTACATCGTACATAAAACTGAATGACTCACTTGGCAGATGATATGACAACTGAATGCTGATCAGAATTGAGAATTTTTGCAAGATGAGCAGCAACTGAATCCTCATAAGCAGATATCTGAAAATAGAGAGAAAAGAGACTTCAATTTCCACACACTCCAGCAGTTTAACACGAAGTAGTGAGTTAAACACCACAATATAGCAGGATTTCCATTTCAGATCTAATACAAGGCCAAGTGTCTGGTAATGAAGATTCTACATGCATACTGTATTTTATGTATCAGATGTTTAATATACAAAGTTAAACTGCATCTGAGAACTTGATCCACAGTTCTTTTCCTCTTGTAGAGGAAACAGCAAGTTATTTCTGGGCTAGAATCAGTCTGTGAGGCAGAAAAGAATCTACCTTCTCAGATTTATAAAAACCTACATTATTATGATCTAATATCTTTTAGTTTTAAAATAAACAAAGCTTTCCTCAAACAAATTGCTCAAGAAGAACAAGTCTAAAGTTTGCAGCTGTAATCTGGAATTTTCACCTTACTCTCAGGTGGGTTCTCACTTCCCAAGAGCCACAACTGACAAAGACTGCCAAAATGGTATAATGTTATCAAAACCAATCTTCAAGGAGCAAACCATTGAAGGCTTAGTCTTTACAAGAACATTAAAAATTACAAATTACAAAATACCCAGGAAAATATCTGGACAGGATCAAAAACGTATCCTCAAACACTGTATGCTATCTCAAAATGGCTCTGGATCCACACTTCAATTTTAAAAGAAAATTTTAAAAGCTAAAGCTAAAAGTAAATGCAGTTCTGACAGCTCCATTTAAGAATCCAAATCCAAAGCTAAAACTAAATACAGTTCTGACAGCTCCATTTAAGAATCTCTTGAAATCCCTCAGCATGCTTTTGTCTTTGATTTTGAGCAGGCAGATACACCACTTGAGTTTTTTCTCCTAAAACCCACCCTTCATCATAGGACTCCTCTGACATTGAATCAGTTTTCATTTCAAAGGAGAAAACAAAACATAAACATCTAATCTGTAAGAATGAACTACTGCTTTTCAAACATCAGTACAAGATTTCTTGAAAACAAGTGGAATTAGTCTCCTGAAACTGCAGGAAGAATGAAAAGGATAAAGAAAATAATCAAATATGTACTTCCATTTGCTTTTCAAACGGTGTCATAATCCAACACCCTACTATAAGGGTAATTATTATTTTTTGTGAAATAGCCTAACTCAGTAAGCAATGTAAAAAATCCCATTAAAACAGAGATTGAACAGGGTACTCAAAAGCAAATGGTTTTGTCCAAGTCAAGTAATGACAGGTAATATAGCCTACAGAATATATTTGCTAAAAAAGAAGTTTTATATGAGCAAGCAGTTCCTTCCATTTTCAGAAGGGGCTAAAAAAAAGTTTCAAAGCCAGAAATAACTAGAACAAAATGATGATGAAGACGCACTTGAAAATTTTAACTCTCTTGGAAAATTAGAGGCGATAAAGCCTTGATCTGCATTGCTGACAGCAAAAGCAGAGCTGTGTGCAAAGCAACCCCCTTGAAATTCCAGCCTTTTTGCATCTCTATATCCAGCAATCCGTCAAAGGTTATAACCTCCTTGCCAATTAAAAGAGCCTGAATTATTAAATTGTTCAAGAGACTGCTGATTAATTATGGCTTCTCAAGTACTTTTGAGCTACAGTTGATATGCATTAACTTTCCTGGGAATATATTTTCTCATTTTCAGTCAGAATTTTCATGCCAATTAATTTGATTAAAGCATCTCCCTCTCTCAAAATTGAAACCTCATCAGCTAGTACAAGCACAAACCTAGTCTGGAAGACAGGCTGAGTTTTTCTTTGATGATACTCAGGATTTTGAGCTCTCCCAATGAACAAAGAGAAAGCTGTGATATCACCTGATCAAACTCGAGCTGCAAAATGCTTCTGTCTCCTTTAGAAATACAACCCTTGCCTCCAAAATGCTGGGGGCTTTTTCTCAATGCTTAATCCAAACTCACAGACATTTGCTGTTATATATTTAAAAAAAAGGTATTTTAAATATTTATGTATATTATCATAGTATATGGAATGTTATACAGTAACATAGCACTAAATTATACTACTATATACAAAATTATATAAAAATTATACTCATTTGTAAGAGTTATCTAAAATACATAGTTATATTATGTTACATAATAATACGACACTAGATTACATTCTTGTTTAACATGCTATATAAATACATTTTCTAATACATATTAATATTTACATATATATTCAGGAAGAAATTTTTCAGACAGCTTACTTTCATTCTTTCTAGGTAAATAATATAGAACTGGAAACCTTACTTACTTGAGATACACAGCAAGGAAAAGCCTTAATTCAGTTCAGTTAGCAGATCACAAAACATCTATTTTTCACACAAATGCTTCAGTTATGGCTATTGTCACCCCAGAAGCTCCAAGTTAAGTAACGAAACAACAAAACAAAAGTTAAAGTGCACCTGGCACTCCTCTGACTCTTCTGCAGTCACAGGAAGAATAGAAGGCTTTGCTGGTAATTTCAGCTCATATGACATTATACTCCACCTGAAAGAAACATAAGTTTCCAGACTGTTAGTTTTACACCCTCTCAACTATAGTAACAAAAAGAAAGTTCACTGTCCCACTGCAGAATATCTATGTATAAAAAACCAGCTTAATTTGTAGTTGTAAACTATATGGGTAAAATAATTAGAGAGATTAAAGAGAGATTAAATTAGAAGATTAAAGGTAATAATTTGTTTTATAGCTCAATTATTTTGCTGTGATTTGATTATCAGTCTCATCTGTGAAAAACTAATGGGACATTCAATATAGGGCATAAAGATTTTCTGGAAGAAAACATACAGATTATAAAAGAATTTGTGCAAACATACTGCAGAAGTCAAAGGAAACTAGACATCTTCCTAAAGAAAAATCTGTAAGGTGACATTAGCTTTCCATCCCAACTAGAGGAGCAGGCATGACAGCAAAGCAAATGATGAAGTGTCTTCCTTGATGTGTATATATTTTTTTGTGTGGTACAGGACAGCACTTGACAGCACAGATAGTATGAAAGCACTGATAACAACAACATCCTTCAAAGCCTGTTGAAAAGAGCAAGTAATCACTGCAGATGGGTCTTGGGAGCAAGTCTACTGAAATTAGACCAAAAAATGAAACAGAGCATGTTTTCACGACAGAAAAGGGGAAATATGATTTAATCTACAAGTTTTTTCAGAATCTGAGGATCAGTCACAAGCTTTTCTCTACATACTGTGCTCTAAAGCAATCAAGTAGTCTGCAGAAAAGCTTAAAATAAAAAAAGGCTTTTTTCTCTATTTCATAAAAATAACCTAAACTAAAATCCCTTATGATGACATTCAAGTGTTTCTAACTCCAGCAAGAAAAGAAACACTCATGAGAGATAGGAATAACATAGGAAATACTCCTCTCAAAAGCAGTGCTAGACTTCCATTGGAACAACATAATCACCATCATCTCTGATTTTTATTTTTTTTTAAATGGGGTTGCTGCCTTTCTTTATGGATGAAAACTACATGAAACAAGGAGTGGGATGGGAAGATCTCATTTTTTTTACTAAGAAACTGCCTCAAACAGAAATATTAGTCATGGATCCAATTAGCCCAGCTAATAGATCCAATCCCAATCTTGTCAACAGCTGATGCCTCAGGAAAGGGTGAAATCTTACAAGGTGAGTTTTCCCCGCATCCAAGGACAGAGAGCTCAGGTGTTTTCTAAATAAAGAAGCTACCATTAATGGTGTTTAATGAGCATGTATGCAGTCCATAAAATTGCTCAAATCAGTTTTGAATCTATACAATTTCTTAATGCTCACAACTTCTTGTAACAGGCAGTTATGCAGCTCCTTCAGCCAGGCAATAAGCTGTCAACTTTTGAACATGTTTGGACAGCACGCTTCCCAGTTCCATCAACCACTCATCCCTCTGACTCTTTAGTTTAAAAAGCAGACCAAAGAGCTGTCCCCATCACAACTGCAGCTTCCTTCATGATTAAGGCCTGCACTCAAAAAACAAATCCATTGAACACCAAGTCTCTAAGATGGATTTTAGGCCATCAGAAACCCAAAAAAATACAATTTCAATCTCACAGTAAGTGATGCATATGCACATTTAGGTTTACCTGTCTAACATTTTCGTGCTGGCTCGTTCTAGTTTTTCCAAAATCTGAGGAAGTTGCGTATCATCATCACAGGATCCTCCCCAGCCAAGGACACGAGCAAGGTCATTTCCAGTACCGAGGGGTAACACTCCTAACTGACACTGAAACACAACACAGGAACAAATCTACTATTGAAAACCAGAAAGAAAATACAAGTGGTTACAAATGCATGTCATTTCAATGAACACATGTTAATTTCATAGCTGATGTCTAAATCCTGTAAGTCAAGTTGTGCTACTCTGCTACAACTCATCCTGTTTATAACAGTGAAAACTTTCATAAAACAGTAACTATCGAGTTTGCTCCATACACAGAGATGCAACAAAGAACCAACTCAAGAAAAAGGTAAACACACATAATTAGGCCTAGTCAGTCTAGGCAAGGAAAGTAAATATGCACACTTGCCTGCTTGTGCAAGCTGAGCTTATCAATTTCTGACAAGACCCAACCCACACTTCCATCGCCACCACACACAAGAATCCTGAAGTTGTCAAACTTCTGAAATAACCGCAAACTGTAGAGAAAATGCAGAGCTAGTTACATCCATTAGCAGGACAGCAGTGACATTCATTAGCAATTGTTACAAGAAAATATTGTGTACAGCATCTTTATAATCCTTTTATTGTGGTGGGGCATGGGGATACAACCATCTATTTAATTAACCTATCTGCAGCCCATCTGTCGCTGTACATTCCCCTTAAACTGACATTTCTGATAAATAACATGCCAAGTTGTCCTTTAAAAAAATCCCTTCATATTGTTTTCAGGATTTTATAAGTCTGATTTTATTGATTTTATTAATATTTTTTAAAAAACAAATTTAAGTGATAAAATTGCAATTGCTCCACGCTTCTCACTTCAGCCAGAAGCATAATGCACCACTGGGGATTTTTCACGAGAAGAGGGTAAGACACAATGACAGGATATGCTCCACAATATGAGTGGGCTTTTGTGGGCACAGGGCTAACGAAATGTAAGGAACATTTAAACAATTCTTAAACAGAAGGTAATCACAACAACATAAGACAAATAATACAAGTATTTAATATTATATCCTTAAAGCCATATACTCTTTCACTTCCTATTGCTCTTCCTCCTGTTCTCTGACTTTTAACACCTACATAATACAACACTTGGACAGTACAGAAAAGGAGGCCAAGAGAGACAGAAAATGCAGAAAGGTAAGACAGAGGAAAAGGAAATGAGATGTGAAGAAGCAGGCAAAAGGTAAAAAATAACAGGGACTTAAACTGAAAAAAAAAAGAAAAAGAGAAAAAAATTGGAAAGTATAAACTCTTAAAATACTAACAACAAAGATATTTGTTTTTAATGCATGTTATTTTCCAGAATATGTATAATTTCTGAACAATTTTTTAAAAGTAACATATCAAGATCACAAATGTTTGAAACATTAATTTTTTTTCTAGAGAAAATAATGTCACTTGAATACCATGGGCACATACCTAGTCAGAACAAAAGAAGCAGGCATTTAAGGGGAAAAACTGTTGATACCAGAGCAATTTATCCTATCCTGAGAAAAAGGAGAAAACCCCTAGCAATACACTGTCTCATAGCATGCACCTCTGCTTTTTAGATCAACTAGAAAAAAGAAGACATCAGTGCAACCCCATGAAATACCTGCTAAGGATCTCTCCTTGGAAACTGGGAGAAGTACTTAAAAGCACCTGACAATTGCACAGAACTGTAATTTCTGTGGAAAATCAAAGTGAGCCACCTCAGCCATGGCAGGACTATATGAAGGAAGAGAACTTGCAAACATATTTTTCATACTGCCTCCTTTCAAACACTGTCTAATCAATTAAGACCAATGTTATATGCCATTATAATTACATGTACAAAATTCTAGCTAAAAGTCACTTGGATTCACCTCAGATTATCAGGGTTATAATGAAAAGAATATTACAACTCAGAATTATCATGATGTGTCCATAACACAGTACTAATTATTATAATCCACAGGTGTAATCAATTGTATTATTTACACACTGCTTGAACTGAATTTTTGTGGATTTGCTCCATCTACCTTTTATCATTAAGTATAGTTCTGCATATTTAAGAGTACAAAAATTAGTGCTTCTAGTTGCTATAACTGATAGTATTAGGCCACTTAACCATATCACTACATCTGAGTGGAATTGAGTTAGGCAACAGAAATATGGGAACGAATTTAATCTTCATTAATGTGCAAAGATGATTGAGTTGTGGTCGCCACTACGCAAATTTCGTCACTATCTCTCCAACAATCAACCCTTGGATTCTGGGGAGAAATGCCTGGTGGTTTTAATTGTGTTCTTGTTCCAAATTCTTTTGGATAGTCACTTTCTTGACTATTTCCATATGCTGCATAAACCGTATTTTGGATACACTTTTCAGGTGAAAAATTTTTCATGTACTTGTCCATTAACCACTGCAGACCCCCCGCTGACATTTGTGTTCAGAATTTTAAAAGGTACAGAGCACATTTAGACAACAGTCTTATTCATAGCTACACACAAAAAGATGAGAGGAATATCAGAATTATGCATGTGAAATGGAAGATAAGCACCTGGGCAACTGTGCATAAAGGCAAAATCAAAGTTCCTGTGATACAGGAAAACATCTGCACATTTATATTAGTTTTGAGCCTTACCGGTTAACAGAAGCCAAAGCTAGCCAAGAGCTTTTGCGTTTGAATTTTCAAGTTTTTCTAGAAAGAAAATGTTATCCTATAAACACAGTGGAATTTGTCTTGAAATTCTGTTGCCTCTTAGATTTTAATTAGGAAGTCAGAGTAGATATTGGTGATGGAATTACAGCAACAAGGGGATATAACACTATAAACAAGGGGAACACACCACTATACTTTGCACCTAATTCCCTTGTGGAAAGGCTTGCTCAAGGTTTCCAAGATCATTACCCTAAGTGAGGTCCTCCATTCATTAAATCGAAGACCTGAGCTGGATTTAACGACTGTTTGAATCGACGAAGAAACTTTACTCCCTGATTGTCTCCACTCTTTGAGTTAACAAAAACTAAAAGAGGACTGGCACAGGATGGCGGGCATGTGGCTTTCCAGAAACCTGTAAACATAGTTAGAAAGAATGAAATAAATAAGGTTTCCTAATATGAACAACACAAAAAGAAATCATGGGAAAGAGGAAGATAGGGATGAAGGACAAAAGGAGTACATTTTTTCATGCATAATGTAAATGCTAAACTGAGTATTAGTCCTGCAAGGAAAACATAATTACACAAGATTTACCAGTTCTTTTTTTGTTTATTTGTTTCTGGTATTTTCAGTGCCTAAATTTAGTAAAATCCTGAAGACAATAGCTTTACTGTTTTTCAACTGCTATTAACCTTTTAGAATACTTCTTAAGTCTCATCTTCACCAATTATTATCACATAATTGAATATATATTTCAGTTACAAGTGTTTGGTTTTCAATCTTATTTTGCTTTAACTTTGCTGGGTTGAACAGGGTCATTCATGTCTGTTTGAGCTTTTTAAGAGTACTCACAGATTTCAAAAGTCACTTGAACTCAGTTCCTCCCAGGTAAGACTTCACCTAAGAGCCTTTTTTTCAGACTGAGGTTATACTATTCAGTATAACAGAATCACTGAACAACAGAAGATCTTCAGCCGTGATTCAAAGCTTATTAAAGCCAGTGCAAATCTTAACTAATTACAGCAGGCTCTCTACAAGGTCCTTAGTCAGAAGGACTAATGGACACTGTTGTCACTAACATGACCAGTCCATGGAGGTAATGGTTTCCCAGCAACACTCCAAAATCAGACATCACATGTATAGGTTTTGACATTTGTCTCCAGCATTATTAAAATGATTATGTTGTTTTTAATTACTAAAAAAATACTAAAGCTACAAATTAAAAAATTTCATTAAGGGATGCTAATTTAATTCCACATTATCATAATGTCTAATTTCAAATAAGGTTTGATTAATTAATTTAAATGCCAAGAAAATTAATTTCACATATTGAACCATCTTCCTAGCATGAGCAATAAATGACAGCATGATGTCTAAGACACCACAAAGCAAATAAACAGAGTGAATATATACAGCATACACAATCACTTTTACTACCTTCATGTAGCAAAATTCATTTAATTGCATTCATGGGATTGGTCTACTTTACCATTGACACAAACTATAAAATAAAAGTAGTTAAGATTTTGTGATACTTTTTTTTTAAAATCCACTCTCTGCCTTGAAGTGCAGTCTCCCACTGTTGATGTGTTTGTATCCTGGACCACCAAAAAGCAGCTCTAGTTTTGAGCATTTACTAGATTTTACCTGTGTGTTGCAGGATTTTTACTGCTTATCTTTTAAAAAAAATAAATCAGAGAAGCTATGGAAGCTCCTCTCTTAAGCCTGGTAAAGTAGTTGTGGAGCTGTTCAGCTAACTTATCTCTGCACAATACAAAATTATCCAAAATTTGAGAACTCACAGAAGGAGTGGTGTATGCTAGGCTGGCATCAGACCACTTCATCTGAGGATTCTGATCATTCACTTGAAATGTTTCTAAGGGTCATAAGTAAAATGGAAGAAAATTTCTGCTGGGACAGCTTTAAAAACATGCCAGTTGAATAACTCTCTAAAAACCTACACAGAAAATTATACTTCTCTCTAAATTTGCAGACTACATTCACCTGGTCAGCAGAAGGATTTTAGCCTTGAATATTTGCATGGATCTCAATAGGCACTGGAATTCCAGAGGTACCACTGAACACACCACAGTACTACGTACCATCGGAGTCTATACTGTTTAGTGCTGTTGGAGGGATGATCGATACCTTACATTGGCCAAGTGGACATTTACGAGGGTACAGATCTTTACAGGCTGTGTGAACCTACAAAAGAAACAAAAAATTTATTTTCCAGCAGTGTAATTTTGATACTAACTGATATTATGTTATCTATGTAACAAAAATGGACTCATATTTAACATCTAGGTGTAGAGGGAAAAGAAGTGAGACTAGGAAAAAAACCCAAATGTTCAACCACAGAGCCTTGTTACTAATTCAACAAAACATTATTTTGGAGAATTTCATCTTCAGCTACCCCTATAGGAGGTAAGAATCATCCTTTCTAGGGATGGACTTGCCCCATCCACAAGGAAGGAAGAAGCAAGCTCCCAGCATCTGTGCTGATGGAAGCAGGCTAAACAATAGCTCTGAACCTGCCTGGTCCATTGGGGCTGTTCTGGAAGATAAATCTGCATTAAAGTTAGCACACCTACCAAGCCACACCCATCTCCCAAAGTTGGGTTGTACAAACTCCATATTGCAAAGGTCTTTTCCACAGATATTGGAAAGAGAGGTACATGCAGAGGTGGCTGCATTTCACCTAAATATCAAGTTGCCTCTGGAGATGCCAATCATTTTCTATGGCTCATTCACAGAGCCTTGGATACCTATATGCCAGAAGCCTCAACAATAAATAAACTGTTAACTTGCATAAGAAACCTATCTTTTTAGACAAGTTGATACAATTAAGAGAAAACTATATATTAGGGAAACAGCAGTAGTGAGTTAGAGAGTTTCAATCAGCAACATACAGATTGCCCTGAAGAAGAACAAGTAAAGATTTTGCACTAATAAACACGTTACTACATTAATAAATATGACTATAATATATTACTAAAATACAAACAGAGCAATATCTACAATAAAAAATACAAGGAAGTAACATATGATTATTAGGCATAAGGAACAGGCTCCTGAACATTGAGTTAACACCTAGAAGAAAGCAGAGAAAACACATTGGAGATGACAACACCTATTAAAGAAAAGCTGCATCTGTGAGTGTATTTAAAATTGATTGTGCAAGTAGGACAGTCATCAGAAATTCTGAATGATACAGAGATCTGAGTTTGCAGAAGCTTCCTGCTACTACTTAATCCAAAAGCAGGTTGTGGAACAACAGAGCAAAAATAATGGCAAGCAGTAAAGCTGTCAAATGGTGAGATGCTTGGATGTGGCTCAGCACACCTACCATAGCTTTACACCAAAGGCACTTCCAATCCTGCAGGCGTAGAACACTGCCACAAGTCTTGTCACAGACGGCGCATTTGGCACTGACGGGCAGGTTTCCTTCTAACCACTGGTGAGGCATCGCTATCTGTGGAGAAGGAGGCATTGGAGTTAAGGACCCAGAAAGAGAAATTAAAGGCTTTTGTCTCTCAAATACAGGTGGATTTAAACTATTTCTCAGAGCTGTATCCTTTCATCAAAGAAGCAGGTATGCTGGTCAGCCAGGATAAGGGACACTGATGCTCAGAAGGCAACTGCAATGAATGGACCACTCTGGTGTTCCACATGCTAGGTAGAAAACATGACACCTGAAGAAGGGAGACCTGTCTCACTCATGGTAGCAATAAACCATAACACAATGGGGCAGTTAAGTCCAGAGACTCTGCCATACAAACAAGTTCCCACTCTGTTATGTTGACTACATGACACAAACCAATTAAAAATACCTAAAATTCATTAAAATAGGCAGGACAGCAGAATTCTTCTGTCGCTTCACTTACCCACTCACCATGGCTGGTAAGTCACGGCTCTCTAAAGCAGTCCCAAATGCAGTGCAAAGCTTTACTCAGTGCACTCTTTGTCCCATTAATACCATGGGCAACTCAGGACACTCAGGTGTTCAACTTAGTATCAGCCTTCTAAGAAGAAGCTTCACACCAGTGGTCCATACACAGCTGTGTTTGTAAAAATAGTCCATTTATCACAATCAACCTCTCAAAGGCTTTTGTTGTTTCTCCTGCTAATTTTAAAATTCCTGCTTTCATCACCAAAATCCCCTCCCAATTCAGTGAATTCCAAATGGGTCTCCCGGGAAACTGCTCCAGGGAAAGAGGACAAAAAATACATTGCCAAAACAGCATGGTAACAGTGCAAAATACCACCTTTGCTTAAGAGCAGTAGGAACTTCTGGGAGCAATTCTCCAGCTGCAGAGTTTCTCCACATGTGGCCTTTAAAACCTTGTAATACATCTGCAATCTAAGGCCCACAGTTGCTAGACTTGTCTTGTGAGATAGGAATGCAACTTTTGCTCTAAATACCACGTTAATCTTTGAACAGTGTTCAGGAAAATAGCCACCTACCATTTACTTCAATGGGTCACATGGGAATATTTCCGTGGTTGGGCTTTTTTTGTTTTTCCTAAAGAAGAAACAGCTTTGGAAAATACTATAAATATGAATAGTACTTACACCATCTTCATCTTCAATGATGTCTTTTCCAATTGAGGCTAATGTAGTCCATTTGCAGTTATTTGTTGCTCGGACAGCACATCTTTTATGTGCTTTAAACTTACACACTGCAAGACACAGATAAACACATATATCCTGTGTTATTTGCTGTATTTCAGTGATACACACCTTTTAAAAAATTAAACATGGATATCCCATAAAATAGCCAAGTACATATCACTTAGCATTGCACACATGACAGAAAACAATTAAAAGAAAATTCAGTTCATAATCACTCCAGCTTTAACTCTCTAAACCAGGTTTAACTGCTTAGCTATAGCCCATGCTAAATGTGCCCTGAAACTCACACTGGTCCCCATTTTTTCAGGTACATAGTACAATATATCTTTAACTATGGGTTTGTCTTTTCCATTTCTCCAGTAACATGATTCAGATATCTGACTTAAATTTTCAGGAAGTCATGGGAGACTGTTTTACAAAAATATTTTGAATCAGGAGCTCTGTTTCTTTGCTCAAAAGATGCATTTGAGGCACCATGCTGAGCCTATTTTTCTCAGAACATGAGAAAATGAAGGGTTTATGTGGTGATATTTTTATTCAGGATATTGGGGATTACAAAATTTTCCAAGAGCCTATATGACAGCAGGAAGAACCTTACTTTTTACTGCATTCTTTATTAAAAGCCTGCTAATTGGAATATCCAGCACAAGTGTGTAGTTAGGCAGACATTCTGACACCCTAACAACTATTTGAATTTTGTTCAACTCAATTAATATGCCTAGCTAATGATACCATATTAGACCAAACAGACTGACGCACCCAAACCATGGGTATTTCTTCTACTGGAAGTGCATGATGTAATTCTTTTTAGAGTGCATTATAAAAATTATTTTGGCAAAGACCATTAAAGGTTTATGAGAACTAGCCAGTAGATCAGAAGTAGTAGTCTCTTTTCAAACAAATATTTGACAGGAAATTATCAAGGCTTTGGCCCATCGCTTATCTACCATTAAAAAACATTAAGCTATGGTACAAAATGTCTTGTGAATAATAAATTTTCCATTTTAATTCCACTGATCCATTGCCAGATCAATTTAAAAAGTGAATTGAGACTATGTAAGCAACATCTGAGTTTGAGAGCAATCCTCACTGTTCCGGGACATGTGTGAAAATAAATGCTCAGCTCTCACTTTCTTACTTTCTAGAAAGAAAGAGAAGGAAAAGAAAACAAAGAAGTTTCATTGTATAGTAACTCTCCCAGTCATTTCAAAAAGCAGCATTCATATAATCATAGAAATATTTGGGTTGAAAGAGACATTTAAAGATCAGTTAGTTCCTGCTGTAGACTGTGACATCTTTTACTAGACCAGGTTGCTCAGCACTCCATCCAGCCTGGTCTTGGGGTGCTGAGCTCAGGGATGGAGTGCTCATGACTTCTCAGGACAATCAGTGTCTCACCATCATCACAGTAAAGAATTTTTCCTACTATCTAATCTCAACCTACTCTCAGTTTGAAGCCATTTCTCCTTGTCCTGTCCCTACATGTCATTGTAAAAAGTCTCTCTCCATCTTTCTTGCAGGCTCCCTCCAGGTACTGGAAGGCTGCAATTACATCACTCTAAAGCCTTCTTTTTTCCAGGCTGAACAATCCCAACTCTCTCAGCCTTTCCTCACTGGAGAGGTGCTCCAGCCCTCTGATCATCTCCACGGTACTCCTATGGACTCAAATAGTTCAATGGTCCCCAACCTAAGAAAGGTATGGATTTGTTGGAGCAAGACCAACACAGACTCAAAGCATGCAAATACCCCATAACTGTCAACTAGCAGGGCTGACTCACTTTTCCTAAACAGCTCAGTATCACATTGTGTGTTTGCCAACCTGAGCTGGTTCCAAACATCTAATTAAGCCAGCTCCCACAGAAGCACAGAAATAAAGGCTGTATTTTCAAGTGATGGACCATGATCAGTTTACACAATTTGCATGTTTCAGAGAAGGTATGCCACTGAATTCAGCTCCTTACTCATAAATGATAAGCACTTGCTGTGTCACACAGATCAAAATACAACAAATCGGGGATGAGGGGGAATAGAAAATTACAAATTACAAAGTAATAGAATGTTCAAACCCTATTGAGCTATGATTGAACTTGATCTTAGGAATTCAGCTTCTTTCTTCAAAAAGGCAAGGACAAAATCAATCCCAGGCTCTGAAAAGCTGCAGCAAGTCACCCTATACATGGCAAATGACAAGTAATGCTTGCTTTGTAAGTACTACAAATAACCTACCAACCACATTTCAGATCAGACTCTTTGGGTCACACCCCCTGCAACCTCAGTATCATGAAACAAAAGTTTATGTTAGTCTAAACATTAAATATTACCAACAACAATAAATTTAAGACACAGATGCAACTTGCAAGCAAAGAAAGGAAAACTTTGAATCCCACCTCAATATTAGTTACCACTATGACCTAACTTCCTTTGTCTCAGTTTACACTGAATCCCATTCATGAATCAGTCTGATACCTGAAATCTTTTGGAAAATATGCAGACATATGGCTAGACATCAACTGCCATTATTTTGCCAATGAAAGCTAAAATACAAGAAAATTTACGTTACTCAGGAAGCTTAACATTGCAATATAGTTTCTGAATGCAGCTGTGCAGTTGTTGGTTGTACGACCCTGCACTTTTAGAGAACAGGACCTTCAGTCACTGCATGTAATGGATGGTTCTCAATAAGTACAGAGTTGTACCATACTCTGCTTCATAATAATTTTTAACAGGTACTCGCCTTACTGACCGAAAGCTAATGTAATACTGTTTTTCAGCCATCAATATTAATTTCTACCTGGCCTTTAAAAAAAAAAAAAAAAAAATAGTAAAAGAAGAAGTTGTTGTTGTTTTCGTTGTGCCCAGTACTACTACTACTACAATTAACACTTTTTTTTCAATATTGTATATCTTCAAACCATCAGGGACTTCAGAACAGCTTCAACTGATTTTTGCAGCGAGAGAAAACAGCATTTCCCTGATACAGGTTGCTGGTTATAAAGAATGCACAACTACTGATTTGATCAAAAATCTTATTTAAATGTTTTCCCCGGTATCACAGAAGGGTACATGTGATATAAAGTCACAGAACTGTTTTCTATTACTCCTTCATTCTTTAACAACAAACATCCCTTCCCTTTCTTGCCACTTCATTCACTATTCACTCTCCAGACTGTGCAGAAAATAAGGCAAAAGTATCAGAGGCAATGACTGTGCAAGTAGTGCCCATACAATTCCCTGGGCAATGGGTAAGAACAAGAGGGTTTTGTGGGTAAAACCCCACAATCATAATGGAAAGAGACAAAGTGCACAAAGTGCATTTGCAGAGGTAATTTAATCCCAGTATTTTCTTACTGATTGGCTTCATCATCCAAAAGTGTTCTTACAACATTGTGCGATTCGTCACAGGAGAATGCAGTTTAAGAGAGAGGTTTCTCCCACTTATTAGCTATACTTGATATTCAACAATCAGGATCCTGTCATGATAAACAAAATGCTACATGAAAAAATAAATTTCTGAGAACAATCATAAATGCAGTATTCCACTGGCAATGGCTTAGATAGAAACGCAGTACTGATGCAGAGAAACTGAGGTTATAGAGCTCTGGAAGAGTTTCTGTAGATAATGATATATCATCCTTTAAGCTTCTTTGCCTAAACATTCCATATTGAAGCTAAACTCTGAGGCGTATAAAAACCAAAACCCTTTCTTGATTCAGCTGATTTGGAATAATTCCTAAAGCAAGGCACAGAGACCATAATTACTGTGTCTAGTAAAGACTGAATGAACATTGCAGAGATCAGTCATCTAGCTAGAGCAACACAACACAGAGACAACATTGGAAAAGTAGATTATCTTTTGAGAAGACAAAAGAAAGAACCTGTTGGAAGAACAGCATTGCATCTCAAAGGAGAGTCTAATTAACTTTTTTAGAAGTCAATTGCTTGTTGAGCAGCAGCAAGAATGAAGCCTGGTTTGTTATAACTTACATCTTCAGATTGATATACATATCCGTTCTTTGACTTCTAAAAAGGTGCAAGTTCACACTAGTCTTTTACCTAGCAAAGGGATTCACCTACCATCTTTTTCTACACTGGTTTCCACAAGTCTTAGAGTGTTTTCAGGGTGGCTTGCAATTAATTTGGCCAACCTTTGCTGCTGGGATGGAAGGTGAGCTGAAGAAAAAGTCACCCATCACATCCAAAAGAAATGCAGCTTGATTTGTGGTCAGACTTTAAAAAAAGCAGTTGTGCAGGAAAACAGAAATTTTAAGATAATAAAATATTACAGGAGAAATAAACTATCAAAAGCCGCAAGATATCAGCAATGGGGTTTATTTTTACCTATAGTTAAGAATCAGACCCCAAGAATCAGACCTCAAAGACTCTAAGCTACTTTCAAGACAACTTGGTGTGCCAGTAACCCAACCCACTAATAGGAGGAAGAGCTCAATTATCTCTTGAAAGACCTCTCATGCTTTTCAACACAAGGCATTATAGAGTAGCCTGGGATCAATGATCACACAAATAATTGAATTTTGTATATGTATAAATGGATTCCCAGTATAAAGCAGTGCTGAAGGTTTGAAAAGCCAGGCATGAATATTTAAACAGGTTTTTTAAATTATGTAATGGGGAAAAGCAGCACAGAACAAGTCTGGGGAATGTTAAGACTCCAAACTTTCCAGATTATCCTCTCAAACTATAGACTGCTAATACAGGTAAGATACAGAAAAAAGTAGATGATTAAATGCATTAGAAGCGCACATAGCAGAAGCAAGTATGAAACAAAAATACATTTTTAGATGAAGAAATTAAGGATGATTGGTTTTAACATGTATACATAATTGCAGAGAAAGTATAAAGTATTACAGTAAAAGACTCAAATGCCAAATGATTTAGATTAGATATATAACTAAAGATCTTATTTTATTTAAAAAAGAAGAAAATAGATATAAAATAGAAGCTAGGAAGTTAGAGGAGGTAGACTTATTAATAGACAAAAGAATATCACAGTATCTACATATAAAACATTCCAGATCATACTTGATTATGAAACTGTGGAACAGCAAAAGGAAATCCAAGTCACTTTCACATGCTACTTTTAAAAACTGGCATCATAAATGTGGATAAATGTAGTATTAGTTTGTCATTAGTTATACAGAAAGGTGGCAAGCTCCAAATCTGGAAATTATGGGAACTTCCCTAATGTAAAGTTAATGCCAACACCCTGTATATTAAAAACATATTTAGATGCAAAATTAGACACTGAAAAAACATAAAACGGCAAGCTACATACATTAACATTGACAATTTTCAATAAATTACCCTTTTAAAGTAGCTATAATATTAACTTAGGAATGGATAAATTCTTTATAAAAGTCATTCCTTTCCTTTGCCTGAGCAAACATAACAGTATTTGTACACAGAGGCAATACAACTGCATTTTAGTTAAGCACATGATATGTCCATCTGTCAATATCGGACATTGAGAATACCATAATTGCCTTTAAACTGTCCAAAGGACTTACTCACAGTGGGAAACATACACCAGAGAGGCTGGAAGTAACCATGATACTTCTAATTTCTACAAAACAGGTTTGTCCTGTTCCTTGGCAACTGCACCATTAGTTACATTAAAAGCATAGACAATTTAGGACAACGGGTTAATGTTCCTTTTGTAAGATTTCCTTAATACACATTATTATCCTCAAGTATTATAACAGCATCAATAACAGAAATGCACTTGCTGTTGGGTTACATACATCCGAAGAAATGAAATTATCAATGGTGTAACTGTAACTCTTTTCTGGGTAGTCAGCTATTTTAGTAATTAAATATCTCTACATCTCATATATCTCATAGGGTCACACAGATGCTTTATTTTCTCCTGTCTCCTAACACAAGCAGACTTGTTACATTTTTCCACAGAACTTGCAGGAATTAAAAAATAAGCTGTTTCAGGCATATTGTAATCATTTGTTAATTAAATATAATTTCCAGCTAAATGCTTAAGTTTTAGCCACACTTCCTTTTTCTTTGTGCTGGATTTCCCCTGTTGAACCATCAAATGCAGTCATCTACATCTCTACCCCCTCACAGCATGAGAGAATTTTTAAAGCAGTAAATCAGTGCGTACTGCAGGATCAGGCAGCAGCAATAGAGAAAACAAGAACTGGAGGGCAAAGGGTCATAACACTTTGTTCAGCATTAAGAATGCTTTTAGACTTGGGGCAGAAAATACCATCACAATACCATCACAGAATCATTTTTTTTCAGAGAAATGCTGATTCTGCAAACCAGTAAGACTATTTGGTTCCACATTTTTGATGTGCAAATCAAATAAATCCTTTTCTTGTGAGCCCTCCATCCTGTACACTCCAGCTGCTGCAACAGAGAGAAGTGTTCTATTCTGAACACTGAAAAAGGCACCTGGAGCAACAGGAAGGTGAGGCAGATCATTAGCAGTCCCTCTGCCCAGAAGAGGGTCACTCTCATGTAGAGTTTTCTCCCTTCAGGCTCTTTTGTTACTCATTTTCAGGATCATTACTCATGCTGAACTTGCAGCCATCTGTCTACACACATAGCATGATAACCAAGGGAAGCAATGATTATTTTACCTTCACAAGACAGGCCGTGAGAAGTGACTCCAGAGAGGCTCTCTCTGCACACGTTACAGAAGGTGGGTCGGGCGTGGGAGCAGGCGTACCAGTTATGCATCCCTGAGAAATGTTCCACATTAAACTGTGCGGTCTAGTAAAGGAGAAGTTAAGACAAATTTGCAAGTACAGAACACAGCTACGGTGACTGACATTACGCACGGTTCCATATTACAGGGGATGACAGCGAAATGCTCCCCAAAAGGATTTTCCAAAGGGTATTTAGCCTGCTCTCCCTCCAAAATTCTAAATCCAAGTGTGATAATAAGCTCTCATTTTGTGAAGTTCTTAAGGTAAAGCTTCACTCTGACATTAGACATGCTTTTCACACTACTCCAGTTCCATATCCTGCTTGATCTGTTGAGCCAGAACAGGTTGCACCAAGAGGGATGTCAGCTTACCTCATAGTGTTCTCTGGACTGAACGGACTTCAGAGAGCTTATCCAGTCCTCCATTTCTTTTCTGTTCTCAGCACACAATATTAGCCTCCTAAATGGAGTTATTATCTGCAAAAGATAACACATCCTGATTAATCCAGACAGTAAATATCATGACAGGCTATGATATCTAAAGTACTCTTCCCTGTGAGATGATGCAAAAGGATGACATGCCCTACAAGGCAAGACCCTAAACACTTAAAAATATTTTCTTTAATGCACTACCAGCAACAAAAGAGTTTGCTTTTCCTTGTACAGTTCCCAAGTTTCAAATCAGGCTTTGGTACAGGTCTCTGTAGTCTACATTGATCATTACCCATTCTCAGCTCTTTGTCTATGCACTGAGTTTCAAATGCCCAAATGGCAGGCACTGAAATGCTAAAACAGCCATTCTGTAAATTACTATTTGACTAAGACTGCAATCCTATTTCATAACTGCATCATAGCAAGTGCAAGGTCCATTCCAATTGCTAGAGACAAAAACATATCAAAATCAAATGCCTGGAAGTCTTAAACAACCACAAAAGCTGTCATCATATTTCACTATCTTGTATATTGACAATATATTTACACAAATTTATACACACAAAAATTTAAAGCAGCATTTTTTATATCCAACTATATCAACTCAGTATAAGAACACATACAAATCTTTATAAAAAGGCACAAACAACAAAAGCAAACAGTTGAAATCATATCCTACTAGGACAAATGAATAAATTCCTGGAACAAGTTGATGCTGGGAATTTTTCAGAGTTGGATTCTGGAAATCTGAAAATACTGTACCAAGGAGGTTCAGAGTACAAGCTGCTCTCCCCTCTCCCTAAACAGTAGAAAAAATAATCAAAATAACAGGAAGGCAGCAGAAACTATCAGCTAACTCCCACTGAAATTATTTTGAGCACTGCATTAAAATAGACAAAGCAGTTACTTACATGGCAAAGAATTTAAAACAAGTACAAGAAAATAAGGAAAGTTATTTGTTTTGTTGTAGAAAGTCTGAAAAATAAAATTAAATTCTTTATCAGTATTATGCATTAATCTATTTCATACTATGTACCACCAACACTTGCAAATTAAATAAAACAGAGAAGGAACCACAAAAAATGGGAATTCTGAGTATTCTTTCAAATGCTACAAACTAGACATTACAACATTTGCACAATATCAGTACGGATTTATCTGCAGCTGCAGTTACTTACCCAGTCCCTGCCGCAAATTGTCTCTAGCCTTGATTTGTCCTATCCACTCCTTCATTAAACTGAGCTGCACTTTAACATCGCTCAGAGGCGACGTAACTGAAGTGCAGCAGGCTGCAAGTCACATGGAGGGGAGGCTTGCCTTTTTTTTTTTTTTTAATGTACTCACTTCACATGGAAGGGAATAGTTTCTTTGTTTTCTGTTTCCTTCAATCTTGCTTAAGCTATTTAATAAGGTTTATTAGTAGGTCTCCATGGCTTTTCCTAAAGAACAGTTTATGCAAAGAGCAATGCTTCTCTCATTAGTTTGGAGCCAAACAGACGCTTTATTACTTCAAAATGTTTTTCTAGGCCAGGTCATCCAATGAAGCCAAGAAAAGTCATTAAATCATAATATAACCCTGGCTCCAACAACAATCAGCATTTTGCTGAAATTTCCAGGTTTCAGTGGACACAGAAATCTTATTTGGGCAAATACAAGCCACAGATTATTTCCTATTATATGGCATGAGATTATAACACAGATTAAATAATGACAAATCCACCCAAGACTCAGCACATTATGTCCACCCTGCTGCCACAGTTGCTACTGATTCTAGCCAGTAACTAGACATTGTGAAATGCCATCAAGCAAAACCAGCTGCATTTATTGCTGAAAACGCCTGACTAATCTTGATCTTTTCAAATAATACTTAGATATATATTACTCCTACCTTCAATAGTACAGGTCACAGTCCACTCTTCCATCCCTCCACCCTTCCCCCACTCTGAAATTAAGGCCCTGGTTCAGTTGTTCACACCTAGTTACCCAGTGCCAATGAAGACACCCTTTGGTACCAAAGGTTTTGGCAGGGGAGGGGTAAGTATGATAGAGGACCAGAACAGTAGCTATAAATAACCAAGGTGGGACACCAAACTTCCTCTTAAAAAGCCCTGCACACCCATTTATTGGCAATCGAACCACATCACCAAACACTGCTAACCAATGCATGTAAACACATCAGAAATTCATATATTCCAGCTTCTTACTAAAATCAGAGTGCAAAAAACTTAATGAAGTTCACAGCATTGCAGCAGTCTAACAGCTCAATAGGATACTGTCAATCACATGAATATAGCAGCAATTATTATTGCTACAAAAATGAAGTGGGAAGTTTACATATTTGTGGGAAGATGTACATATTTTTAAATACAGTTAAACTACATATTCTCTTTGATTTACATATTTGCAAACAACAAACTCTAAGAAGGTAGATAGTAACATGAAAAAAGACGAAATGCACTATATGCAAGAAGCATCAACAATGCTTGAAAATTTTTTAATAAAATAAAATAAAATAGGAACTAAGAAGCCTGTTTAGTCTCTCATCTATTTCAGTCTACAAAGTCATGGAGAAAATGTACTCTCATTATTTTTTAGATATTTCATGTAACATAGGAACTCAGGGAGCCAAGGAAACTGTTAGCAAACAATAAGTGTTTTTCCCTAAATGCAAAGCATTCTTTAGACTTGGAAAGTATTTCTAAAGGATGTTGATGAGACAAAAAGTAAAAATGCCCAAAAAGGCATTTGAAAAATTCATCACAAATAAATGCATCATATACTATAAAGGACAATATCTGAAATCTTCAACTTATCAGGTCTTCAAAAGTCCAGCCATGAGTCAATGTTGGGAAGTGACTCAAGGGTAAGAATCATTGTATGGTCACCAGTTACGCATCTCTGTTCTGCTGTTTCTACTTCATTCTTTAGTATCTGCTACTGTTATTACTATACTTTAATTCCACTTGGTTCCATGAGCTTTACACTAACTCAGTATAGCTTTTCTTGTTTATCCTAAATTAAGATTGACTTCCTAAATCTTCTTATTTGCATTTATACAGATGGCATGCTTTCTTCTGAATGCTTACACAATGCTATGATTAACTAAGTGGGATGTTTGAAGTTCATTCACTAAAAACAACTGAATCTGTATAAAGACATAATCAAAATTAAATGAATGTAACTGAGCTCAAAACAATTTTCCTGCCATGTAAATCTGAATTTAACTAGTAATTTTATGTCATTGCATGTATTCATATTGAGAGTCCTGTATATGCTCTTCTACTGACCTAAGTCAGCACCTTTTCTTCAATTACATATCATGTTTTTGATCTTGACTGCTCCAAATATTACTATTTGTATATTGCTCTGAATATGCTGAACTTTGAACAGAAAGAAAGAGAGAAAGAGATAGGAAGGAAAGGGAAAAGGAAAAGGAAAAGGAAAAGGAAAAGGAAAAGGAAAAGGAAAAGGAAAAGGAAAAGGAAAAGAGCTCTGTAACACAATGCAAAGGAAGTGTTACAGGAACCACTGGGAGACCACTGAGGTAACATAAGAATAAGGTGCCAACAGTTCACCTGCTGACAAAGCAGGAGACAAATCTCAAAAGATGAAGACAGTCAAAAGGTCTTAAAAATAAATAAGATTACCTTCCTTTGAAACTTTTCCCCATTGTCAAGTAGCCAAGAAGTCACTGCTGATTTTGGAAAAGACAATTACCAAGAGCAGATACTGCAGTATGTTGGAAAGTAATAAAATAAAGGTAGTTGGAATAAAAAACACTTTTAATGCAGTAGGCATTGGGACGAGTGAGCATATACAGTCTTAAAAGTTGAAGACAATCAACACAAACACTAAAAAATCTCAGGAAATAAACAATGTCTGAATGGGAAGTAAAACTACCCATTACTGCAATAATGTTCTTGTTCTGTTCAGAAAAGTAGGGGGATTTTTTTGAATGGGAAATGAGGGAGAGAACAAGAGATCACTGTTCACTCTGCTACTGCAGAAGTCTTGCCTTAAGTTGGGATTTTCACGCCAACACTACCATAATTTGGCTTCTAAAAATATACATATACTCATATACATGTACATACACATCTTGAAATTACTTGGATGACATTTCTACAATCAAGTTTGGGACCACTCCTACAACTTTTCTTTCAGACAACACTTATTAGGAACAAGCTTAACATCTTTGAAGGAAATAAAATTGTCATCAAATTCTGAGTAAATCTGAAAGTCCTTTCTTCTTTCAGTAGGCCTAACCTAACCAGTAACCTTGTACATGCCTTCAGCCCAGTGGGTTTAGACTTACAATCTATAAAATAAAATCACAGAGAGTTTAATTAAAGCCTATTGCCTAATTTTTATTCTTTTTTTTTTTTTACTATCAGCAATATATAAGAAAATAGAGTTCCCAAAGCTTGTTGGCGCCAGTTCTGGCTTCTTTTACTAATTCAAAATGAAGATACAGTGTTTGCTAATCAAGAGAACAGTGCTCTATACCTAAGTAGCTACAAAGCAGCTCCTGTAAAGCATTCTGCTTCCTGCAACATGATATTTGCATTAAGGCACCTTCTGCCACTCTGAACTATTATCAGACATTACACTAATAGCACTTTGTATGGCTGATCTTGAATTAAATTACTAATGTAGAAATGTCACATCGAATCTGAAAGGGGTGGGGAAATGGTTTTTCTGTTCTCTGGACAGATACTTTTAAAATCTCTTTTGGAAATAATGAAGAGAGGATGATACAGAGAAAGCACCCCAACTCTCTTCTTAGGGACTATATTCAACGCCTGGGGCACGAGTGTAACATTAAATGCTTCCTAACTTCTCTGTGCTTATAGATGTTGGTGAGTCAGTACAGGCAAATACTAGGGTAACATGCTCTGCCTCTCTTGCTTTTCCATTCCCCTTTTCTCCATTCCCCCGTTCTTGTGCAGGTGGGTCTGTATGAGTGTGGCAGGTGAAGGCACTTCTACCAATGGTAGAAGTTGACTGCTGGGGTCATTGATGCTCCCACAACTTCCAGAACTTGT